ATTAGTGGGGGGATGGCTGAGGGAGGGCAGGGCAGGGAGGGAGGAGTAGATTAGTGGAGTCAAAGCCGGGAACCCTAAGGAAGGGAGTCCCCTTCATAGCTCCTCCCACTCTCCCCAGAGTCTTACTGCCCCTAGAGTAACAGCCCCCAAGAACAGCACCCCCCTTCTTTCAGAGCCTCCCACACCCCACCCAGCTGTCTCTGCCTTACCCATGGCAGGAATCGCCATGCAGACTCTCGATACCACCACCTGGAAGATTCCCTGCTTGGCTGCAGTCACCGAGTGGCCAAGCCTCTGACCTGCCTCATCAGTCACTGGGATGCCCACCTGCAGCTCCCTGGGAAAGGGGTTTGGGGTCAGATCACAGGGCCCAAGTCCCACCTGCAATGCTCCAATGCACAGCTACTGCCTGGAGTTCCTCCACACATCCTAGACTCAAAGGCCGGTTCTCCCCCAACCCTAGAGGATCTCAGTGTCAGACTAAGACAGGAGGCCAGCTCATGTCCAGGGAGGGAAAGGAGTGTCCTCAATCTGGGCTGGCCTGCATGGCTGGATGGTGTACCACGTGTACACGGGGCATGCACGTGCCAGGAGCTGGGGCCACTCACCTCTGCCTCATCAAGGGAATGTTGATGCAGTTGGCAGCTGCCACCGCTGCAAAGGGCACAAATCTGCCAACCAGGGGGGGCAGGTGCTAGGGAGGAAAGGTGTTGTTCAGTGGCCCTGAGGGCTGGGGAAGATTAAGGACTCTGGGGAGAGTTGTGAGGAGCCCGTAGGTCAGGACTGGAGAAGTGACGGGAAGAAGATGGATAAAAGGTGAATGGAGTATCAGTGGAGTGGGGGGCCTTACCTTGGTAAGGGATTTGAGTCCCAGGGCTGTGGCCACAGCCCCTGTGGTGGCACTCACATAGGCTGTTCCCAGCTGCCTGTGGGTGGAAGAGCCAGGTCACCAGAGGGAGGTGAAGAGTCCAGCATGTAGCTCTTTCCTTTAGGGACATGCCAAATCCTCATTGCATGGGCATAGGAGGGGGGCCTCGGTGCAGAGAAAGCCCTGCCCCCAGCTCCAGTGCAACCTTGTCTGGAAGCCCCAGTCCTGTTCTTTGAAGAGGGGCAGGTCCCCCAAAGCATATATAAGAGGACCTGCTGCTCTCAGGCAGGGGAAGTAGGGAGGGGGTGGGCTGATGAGAGCTGCTGCCTGCGCAGGCCACAGGGAGCAGGCAGGAAAAGCAGAGAGCAATGGTGGACTGGGGGAGGGTCCCACACGGTGCTGCAGCTCCTCCTGGGGACCAGCTCTCTCTCACCTCACCGTGATGGGAGCGTCGCCACTGCGGTTGGAGTAGTTAACGATGGCATTGAAGGACTGGTTCACCCACTGCCAGAACACTACAGTCGGGGTCTTCCTGAGGGAACAAAGACGCTTACTTCTGCCCCCTCAACAGTGTCCCTCTTGGACCCCTATAATGAAACTCCAGAGGTTATTCCCATACCCTGTTGATGACCCTAGAATTTGCTCTGGTAACGCCTGCATATCCACCCACCCACACACTTACACAAACACATGCATCATCTCTGGGGTGCAAGGACCTTGAGGCTGAGTTCTGAGGAGTAGAAGGGATTCTAACACAAGCTGGCTCCCACCTACTCTTCTCTGCCCTAATTGGCACAGAGAGGAGGTACCTAGTCATCAAGCCATCCTCTAGCCTAGAGCCCTCAGGAAGGGGATATGGGCAAGACCTGCCTGTAGAAGGTGAGCATGCAGCCAGTGATGGTCATGTTCATGGGCACCTGGGCTGACATGCGGCCAATCAGGACCACCTTCTCTCCCGTGTCCGGATGGAAGGCAGAGTCGTACACATACTTAGCCCTCCACAGCTGGTCCTCGGTGAGCCCTGGGGTCACCACACCGGCCCTGCAGAAGTTATCAAGGAGCAGACAGGCTATGGTCAGTTGTATAATTATTTCATTATATATTACAATGTAATAATAACAGAAATAAAGTGCACAATAAATGTAATGTGCTCAAATCATCCCGAAACCATACCCCCCCCCATCTGTAGAAAATTGTCTTCCATGAAAACAGTTCCTGGTGCCAAAAAGGTTGGGGACTGCTGCTGTAGAGTGTGTTTGTGAGGCATAGAAGAGCCCCCCACCCACAAATATCCATGCCACCTCCTCAACCCAGACTCCCTAAAATCCATTGGGTTAAAGCACTGTGCCATAGTTGTCCATGATGCCAGCAGAGAGAGGGGGGTTGGGGATTGGGACAGGGTGACTCTCAACCTTGAAAAGGAAGGCACAAAATGTACTATATTAATGGCAGGGAATGAGACACTAGAGTACAGGGTCAGATGGGGAGGGCATCACCTGTAGTTCTGCACGATATTCCGAGATGCTTCCAGCTGTGCCCCAGATAGCAGCAGATTTCGGGGATCAGTAACAGTGAAGAAGTGCCGGGCCCTGCCCAGGAATGTGCTTTGGTCCCAGCGAGGTTCCTGGATGTTGATATCCAAGGGCAATTCACCCATTTTCTGCAGGGCAGGGATGAAGGTCAGAGGGCTCCAAGGGCAGGGTCCAAGGGCTCCACCTAAGGAAACCTTTGGTAGCCTGAGCCTATCACCAGTCCCTTCTGGAGCTCAAGGTGACTCCAGATAGGTAAGCACAGGCTGGGGAGGAGCTGTTTCCTAGGCAATGTCCTGGCCTAAGGACCTGCAACCACAGGAGGAGGGGGAAGGGAAGACCAGAACCAGGCAAACAGACCTCCCTCGGCTCTGGCTTGGTGCAGATTTTTATGAGTGAGGATTTACATGTGTTTGATGCATGAGCAGCAGCTACCTCCTGTGCAGCTACTCCTGTGCTGCAGATGCACACAAAAAATATAATATATGCATGACATTCCCATTCTTATGTCAGCTTTAGGCCCCAGCTGCCCTGAGACCTAGATACAAACTCCCAAGGCTGTTTGGGAAGATGGCATAAGATATCCCACACTCCAGCCCCCGATTGGAGGGGAGCAAGGATTCATTGGCCACCTAGGGCTTATCTGTTCCAGATCTCAGAGGACTCTGCTGTCAGCCATGTGTGTGCACCTGGGCATACACAAATTCCCTCTCCAGACCCATCTTCCCCAACCCACACTGAATGACCCCAGGCTCTCCCTGTTCCAGGCTGTCCCTGTTCCCTGGCTGGCAGGGCTGGCACAGCCACCTATCCAGCCACCCACCTACAGAAAATAGCAGGGTTCAGTGGACTCCCCTCCACCCAGCACAGAGGAAAGCCTGGAGCAGCCATCTGGCAGCACGGGGCAAAATCCTACAGAATGACTAATCCTCTCCGACCACACTTCCTCCTCTCTCACTCACACTCACATACCCACACACAAAGACACCATCGAGCATGCCCTACCCAGACAAACAAACAGGACCGACCCGCTCTGTATACATCGGCCCACAAGGACCGATATGCACACTCCGACCAGTTGCAGACACTTTAATGTGACCACACACAGCTCCGCCCTGACATTCCGCCCCCCAACCAACTTCCTCTTGTTTCTCGTGGACCTCCATAGAGCCGCAGATGCTGGATCTCACAGGATAGAGAACGCGTTTCAAGGCAGGCCTCCTCCTCCTACCCCCTTAACCCTCGACTCCCCTGACTCCCGAACGCGGCCGGGACAGCTAGCACTCACGCTTTCCGCAGCTCTCCGCAGCTCTCAGACCCGCCTTCCTCTCCGGGCGTCGCCACAGCCCTCCCAGCCATCACGCGGGACGTCACGCGTGACGCTAACCAGCAGGGAGGGGCGGGGGCCTCCCTGCCGCGCCTGCCCGGCGGATTCCGGGATTGGCAGAGCCTGGGGGCGGTGGGTCTCATTTGGAGCGACGCCCCCAGCCCGGGCCACGGGGACCAGGCCCTACGCTGCCTCCCAGAGCCAATCGTATCGCGGGGATCAGATACGGTCCCCTCCACGGCCAGAGAGAGGAGGGGAGGAGCCGTGCCTGCTGCCCCCGTGGCTTGCAGTCCCCTGGCGGGCCTCGGGAGACACCTGGCCCCTGCAGCAAGAGGTCCAGGTGTCCAAGGAGAAAATGCGCAGGGCCCAAGTGGGCGGCGTGGAGGGGCGGTCCCGTGGAGGGGCGGTCCCCTGAAGGTGCGCCCGGAGGTACTCGGATTACTGTCCGGCTTGTTTACTTGATGACTGCCGTGGCAATGGCCTCTGCCTGCTTAGCCCCCTGGGCACCTACCCAGTACCCACAAGCTTCTCTTGCAGCACCGCGGCATTCGCAGCCCTTCACAGCCCGGTTCCAGTAGTGCCTGTGCCCGGTTTATGTCTCCAGCCCTCTCCCTGCTCCCCCTCTGTAACTCCCAGCTCCATTGTGTCCCCAGCCTCCTTAAGCTCCCATCCCCTAGCCCTGCACCACAGGCCTGAACCCCGCCCCTGGGATGTGGAAGGGCAAAAGACTCCAGGAACTTCAGTCTGCATCCAAGCAATTGCACCACAAAGGAATTCTTAGGATTCTTCCTCCCCTGGTTCCTGTGGCCAGCTGCCCCTGCAGCCTTTCAGGAACTGGGTGGCCAGAGAGACACCTTGTGGTGTAGGAGGAGGATGCAAGTGAGGAAGGCAATCTTCGGCCATGCACACACAACTCACCCAGTCACTGTACAGAGCACGCCTGCCTCCAGCGCAGGCTCAAGCCCCGTTCTGACCCGGTGACATTCCCCCGCTGAAGCCTTAAGGGTGACTGCGGAGGGGTGGCAATTCTAAGAGCCCCGGTAGCTGGCTTGGCCCGGAGAAAACAGGGTTCTAGCGGAAGCGGGGCGAGCCGAGACCCAAGCCCTAAGTCGGAGCGATGGGATGGGGCGTCAGAAATAGACCTGGTGCGGATAGGACCTAGCGGCTCCAAACCAGGTGAAGACAGACTGGCCTGGGCGTCTAAAGGAGGTGCCCGGAGGGAGTGATTGGCGGCCCCACCAACCAATAGGAATGCGGAGCTGCGCAGGCCAGCCCTATTCCCGCAGCCTCGGCGGAGCGTGGGCGGGGTTCCCAGTCTGCGACAGTCGCTCGCTCCCGCGGGCGAGCGAGGCCGACAGCCACTACACAAGCAAACAGGTGAGGGTGAGGGGGCCGAGTTTGAGAGGTGGGGGTGGCCAGGAGAGCCAAGCTGGGGCTGGAGTGCTGCGTTCTGGGTCCCAGAGCTGCTTGAGAGACTTGGCCCCGGGTTTTGCGCCAGATGTAGTGCGACCCTCGCCAGCAGATCCTTCTCCCAAGCTTGGGAGAGGTTCACACAACCTCTTTAGACCGGGAGCAGCGACCTGGGGACCGGAAAATGCCTGGGGACCTTGGCTGCAGCAGTCTAAGGTCCTGGAGCCCTGTCCTTGAGGCCCAACCCCCCAGGGCTGGCCCTTTGCCGCATGCACAGGAGAGGGGGTGGAAGGAACTGCCCTTGACCCCTCATTATCTCACCGTTTGAGCCCCAGGTCCCGCAATAATCCCAGCCTCTACTGAGGACTGGGGACCAGAGTAGATGACTCAGCTGAGAACAGGAATGAGGGGTGAAGGAGAGATTCCCACCTGCCTTGTATAAAGTCCACGAAAGTTCATTTAGGTTCTCTGGCCTGGAGGGAGAGAGGTGTGGGAGCCTAAGGCATGGGAGGGCAGGATCCTCACATGGGGGGTGGCGGAAGTTCTAGGGGGCAGTAGAGGCAGCATTTACACCCCTCCCCCATCCCTGCCCTCCCTGCCCAGGCCTGGAGCGCACACTTCCAAGAGGCAGCTCAAGGGAGGGCTCCGCGTTACTGAGACCCCGGCTCTGCATAGAAGACTCATGGAGCTCGGAGCACACAGGGCTGGCCTCTCCGGGGCTAGCAGGTCCTTCCTGGATTTTTAGGGCCCTGCCCTAGCCCAGCCACCATGGCACACGGTTTCGCAGTGGGCTTTGACCCACTGGGTCTGGGAGACCTAAGCTCCGGCTCTCTGAGCTCCCTCTCCTCCCGAGGCCACCTGGGCAGCGACTCCGGCTCCACCGCAACGCGATACCTGCTAAAGAGGCAGCAACGGCTGCTGAATGGGCCCCCCCGCGGAATCCGAGCCTCGTCGCCCATGGGCCGTGTCATCCTCATCAACTCCCCCATCGAAGGTGGGGGCGGGGCCTAGCCACTGGCCTGGGATGAGGAGGTGGGAGTGGAGGACAGTGGGAGCTAAGCTGGGGGAGGCAGAGCCACTCAATTCGGGTGGGGGAACTCAAGAGATGGGAGTGTAGGGGAGGTGGGAGGGTCTCTGGGAACCCATACGCTCTTCCTCACCTACCCTTGCCTCTCCTTCAGGACAATTCTTTAGTGTTCCAGGATTGTAGAAAGGTCAGAGGTGCCAGATAGGCAGCAGGGAAAGGCATGTGTGTGGCATGCCAGCCCCCAAGTGAGCAAGGGAGGGTACTGAACTGGCCTCTCCCTCCCATGGGCTCTGCAAGTTCATTTGGGGGTGGCTTTGGGGGTGGGGCAGGATGGAGGAGGACATCCTCCATCAGCCTGTCCATTGTGCCACCAGCTCTGTGCTGGGCTGTGAGGAGTCAGTGCCCGGGCGGGTGGACAGAATTAAAGGTTTCAGGCACAGAAAGAGGGAAATGAGGGTAGAACAGCAAATGTTTAGAAGAGGGGGGAGAACAGGGATTCCTTTTCTACCCCAGCCCTGGATAGGTCCTTTGGGGGATCTAGAGAGAAATGGGACTCATTTTTCACTTCCAACAATGTACAGTGTAGCAGGACTTAGAGTAACAAAACAGCTAGTGGTGAATGGAGCTGTTGCCAACAAAGGTTGGCAGTGGAAAGCATGGAGCGTGGTGGGGTGAGCGCTTAGGAGACAGTCTGCAGTGACAGACTTGAGGCAACAAAGAGCTGGTAAGCAAGATGGGACCTTGAATGTCAGGGGTGGAGTGGGAGCCCCCAGGGCCCGGGCTTTCTGTGGGCAGGACCAGATAAATATCTCCAGCTCATCTCCTCTTTCTCAGCCAGCAGAGCACCTCTGGCTGGATCCCAGACTGGACTTTCCAGGCTCTGCTCCTGCTCTCATCAGCTGGGTCACCAGCTGGGCAGCTCTGTTCCCCTCCCAAGGCCGCTGGGACAGGGGTGGGGTGTGTTGCTCAGGGAGCAGGCTTTCTTTCACCCATGGACCAACCTGCTCATCCCTTGTCACCCACCACTGTGAGCCTCACCTCAGGTGAGCAGCAGGGCACTGCTCAGGGTCACTACCATCATTCTGGTTAGCAGCAGGAGTCCCCAGAGGAGCTAGGAAACATTGGGCGGGGGAGGGGAGGCAGGCACTGCAGCACTGCCCTTGTTAGTTCCATTCTATTGAAAGAACAGAACTATGCTGTACCCCCAACACCCCCCATACCCATATTTGATGCAAGAGCTGTTTATACTGTCCCTCTAAAGATCCTCTTCTGGAAGTTCTATGATTTCTTTCTCCCTCTGCCTCACCCTGGTGCCACCATTCAGCCAGGAGGGCAGCATTTCCCAACAATTCAAGGACCAGGACTAGGGCATTGCCCTGACCACCTGGCCCCTACCCTGCCTGGGCTGGGAGCCTCTGAGCTCAGAATCCTCCCCATAGCCTGAGCACAAACATCCTCCAACTCCCCACAGCTGGGAACCCCTGCCCCATGTTGTTATTGAGACCACTTCACGGGAGTAAAGTAGCTGATACAGGAGAAACAGTGAGAAGGAGAACACTGCCACCCACACTAGTCCCATGAGGTCCCACCAGCTCCTTAAACTCAACTGGTCCTAAAGAAAATTCATTACCTTTAATCCAAACCAGCCCTTTCTCCTCACTCTCCTAGTTCATTCATCCATTTATTCTTTTTGTTTATTCCAAAAATACTTATCAAATGCCAAGCACTGTGTAACATACAGGGGAAGAAAATGACAAAGTCCCTACCATGACTAAGCACACAGCTGAGTGAGAGGAGACATAATAAATAATGCACAGAGAAGCAAATAGTGACAAAGGACAGGAAGAATCATTTGGACGATATGATAGAATTGTGGTTCTCAAACCTTAGATGCATCACAAGTGCCTGGAAAGCCTGTTAAGACATAGATTGATTGCGGGCTCGCTCCCAGAGTTTCTGGTTCAGTGGGTCTGTGGGAAAGCGCAGGGGAATTCACATTTTTAACAAGTTCTCAGGTGCTGCTGGTCTGGGCACCACTCTTTGAGAACCACTATAATAGGGACTTACTAGGGGTGGGGAGGGGACCCCAGGAAGGCATCTCTGAGAAAGTGGCATCTGAGCTGGGAGGGGAGTGAGGAAAAGGAGCTGGCCATGCAGAGGTCTGAGCAGGGAACTGCAGGCACATGGAGCAGGAAGAAGGTCAGTGTGGCCAGAGCTCAGCGAGGGAGAGGAGAGTGGCCAGAGGTGAGGGCAGAGGGCAGAGCATGGGGAGGGGTTTGCAGTTCCTCTAGGAGCAGGAGTAGGCATGGAAGTTTTCAATCAGGGGAAAGGCATGATCTAATATGAAAGCTGCTCTGGCTGCTGCATAGGGTAGATAAAGGGGTGAGAGCAGAAATCGGGAGATCATTAGAGGAGTGATGGGGGTGCCTGGGAGGAGAGGCAGGGGGCTGTGCTGGGGCAGCAGAGGTAGAGAAGTTACCATCCTCGCAGCACGTGAGCTCCTGGACTCAAGGCCTCAAAATGGGCAGCCCCTCCACCCTGGGGCCCTGGGGGGGCCACAGAAAGGGCCGGAGGGGAAAGGGGGTTTGGGGCCAGAGAGCAAAAGGCTCCTTGGCTCAGTCGAAAAGGTCCTGACATCTGGGTAGATATAATCAGCTGGGGAGGCCCAGGCTCCCTCAGACTGTCCTGCGCTGCCCCTGCCCCACAGGCCGCCCTTGGGGATTTCCCTCTGAGCTGCCCGGCCATGCACTGTAACCTGATTTCTCTTAGATCAAATTGAAGCATGGTGTGTGTGTGTGTGTGTGTGTGTGTGTGTGTGTGTGTGTGTGTGTGTCTGTGTGAGATTTCTCCCTCTCAAACACCTCTAGAGTAACTCCTGCTGGAAAAGAAATCTCGGCTTCTCACCTGGGACCCAACTTACCCAGAAGGCCTCCTAGAGGGCTGCCAACTGGGTCTGGCTCCCTCCATCCTCTCATCAGCGCCCTCCCCTTCCCCTCCACCCACCAAATCCCACCCATCTCAGGCCCCTAAGAGGCCTTCCGGGCAGCTCCAGCCCCTGGGAACCCTGTCAACACCACACTACTTTCCCCAGGATGGACGGAGAGGGCTGCCCCAGGCTCTGGGCACCTGCTGCAGCTGTCATTGTGGGTTTCTCTCCCGTGCACCCAGGTCATTCCTAGAGCCCTTACCCCCAGAGTCACAGAGGCTAAGAAATGGAAGGAACATCAGGGATCCTTCCATAACATCCCACACAGGGATTTACCAGGTGTCACCTTGCATGCCTCTAAAGATGGGAAGCTCACTATCCCAGAAAGCACATTCCACTGCCTGACAGCTGAATGTTTTACAAAGTTTTTCCTTACAAAATCTGCCTCTGTCTAATTCTATGTGGACTTGCTTCTGCCCACTGGGTTACACAGACAAAAACATCTAATGCTTTCCATAGGATAGCTCTACAACTATTTGAAGATAGAGTTACTATACTCATTTCTGCTGCAAGCTGAAGGGCCTAGACTCCCTCAACTGTGCCCCCTTGGAATGGAATCTCAAACCTTCTTTTCTGTCCATCTAACCCTAACAATGCCAGGATTTTTAAGAATTTGACCTACCCCAGGCCTGTGGGCATGTGCAGCTTGGTAAGCATTGATACACACATACCCCCATATTAGGAGTCCTGTCCTGCTGTTCTCGCTGCTCCCACACCCTCCCACATGGTCTCAAAATCACCCAGAGGGGACCTAAAAATTGGCTGCCCTCTGACCCATTGAGGGCCCTACGTGCCTGTGTGACTGTGTCCAGTAACCCAGATTGTGCAGGCCTCGAGTTGGGGAACCCAGGGACGCTCTGTGCCAGAATGAACATGGGGTTGTGCCTATGTCCCCATCCCCACAGCCAACAGCGATGAAAGTGACATCATCCACGCAGTCCGGGTGGAGAAGAGTGCAGCGGGGAGGCTGGGCTTCAGCGTGCGTGGGGGCTCGGAGCACGGCCTGGGCATCTTTGTCAGCAAAGTGGAGGAGGGGAGCAGCGCAGGTGAGCGGGGCCCCTAGGGTGAGGTCCTGACTTGGGATGTGACACCTACCTGAGTGAGGGGCAAAGTGTGCTGCTGTCAGGGGTGGGGGAAAGAGTCTTCAGCTCTGGAGGGCATGATGGGGACATGGGCACAGCCCATGGGCTGGGCACAGCCACACAGGCACGTAGGGACCTCAATGGGTCAGAGAGCAGCCAATTAATTTCTAAGTCCCTTCTGGATGATTTTGAGACCTATCTTCCTGGCAGAGGGGATTAAGGGACAGATTCCTGGGGACACGCGATCCTGCTCTGGGGATCCCTACTCTGATTGAGAAAGCTCAGTTTTACCCCAAGGAGCCCTGTCTGATGGGGGAGGCTCAGCGTGACCCTGGGGACCCTTTCCCCAAGTGCCCCATGCCAGCCACCCGCGTCCCCTGGTGCAGAGCGGGCTGGCCTGTGCGTGGGGGACAAGATCACGGAGGTGAACGGGCTGAGCCTGGAGAGCACCACCATGGGCAGCGCCGTGAAGGTGCTGACAGGCAGCAGCCGCCTGCACATGATGGTGCGGCGCATGGGCCGAGTGCCGGGCATCAAGTTCTCCAAAGAGAAGACCACGTGGTGAGCAGCGCCTGCCCCGCCTTGCCCCAGCCCACCCAGCACTGCCACCGCCCAAACCCATTGTCAGAAACTGCTTCTGCTCTTCCTGCCCCTCTGGGCGCCGGAAACAGGGGAGCCTAAGGCCTGACCTCCCCATGAGGAGGAGCCTGTCTCTCTCCAGCCCTTCCCCATACCAGTGGCCCTGCCCCCATGGCTGCTGCTGTGCAATGAGGGACAATAACAGCACCTCCCCATGGGGGCGCTATAAGGATTAGAAATGGGCCTGGCAGGCACCTTGCAGCGGCTCCATACAAAGGCCATTAGGATGGTTTCCCAAGTTTGCTGAAACCTATGTCCCCCTGAGGGCCCCAGGCCCAGGCAGGTCTCCAAAGGCAACCCCCCTTTCCCGTGCAGTTGGCAGGGCTGGGAGGGCAGGTGGGATGGGGACACAGCCGAGGGCCCCTGCTATTGCCCCAGGGTGGATGTGGTGAATCGGCGGCTGGTGGTGGAGAAGTGCGGCTCCACGCTGTCAGACAAGAGCTCAGAGGACGGCGTGCGGCGCATTGTCCACCTGTACACAACCTCGGACGACTTCTGCCTGGGCTTCAACATCCGCGGGGGCAAGGAGTTTGGCCTGGGCATCTACGTGTCCAAGTGAGGGCTGGGGCAGGAAGTGAAATGAGGGGGGGAGGGCCGGAGGACGAGGAGCAAGCGAGGCCTGGCCAGCTGCCTGTCCGAATGAGGACCTGGGTTGGAGGGTCACCAGGAGGAGAGGCCAGGAGCTTGACTGGGGCATCCCCGCATCCAAGTAAAGGGTCTGGAATGGGGGCCGGGAGGGCAGGCCAGGGGCCTAGACTGATGCCTGTCTGCCCCCAGAGTGGACCATGGTGGGCTGGCTGAGGAGAATGGCATCAAGGTGGGGGACCAGGTCCTGGCGGCCAACGGTGTCAGGTTCGATGACATCAGCCACAGCCAGGCCGTGGAAGTGCTCAAGGGCCAAACGCACATCATGTTGACCATCAAGGTGGGTAAGACTGTGGGAGTCAGGGAGAAGCCAGCCCAGAGAACGGGCTTCCTGGGCCACCCTGGTATCTAACTGTGTTCATTGCTCCGCAATTTATGGCATTTCCCTAGCTGCGTGGCTGGTAGGGCAGGCATTGTTCCCATCTCTATTTTGCAGAAGACACTGAGAGTCAGAGAGGCAAAGGAACGAAGCAGTCAGTTACTCAGCTGGTCAGCCTGGGGCCTGGTTCCAGTGCTGATTGCTACAGCAGTGTCCCTTCTTATGAATGGTGGAGGCCTAGGGTTGAAAGGCACAAATGCCCTGCCCAGAAGGGTGGGCTGGTAGTGGTGACTTTGGGCAGGACCTGCATAGTGGGCATCCCCGCGCACAGGGCCAGGAGGGTGGGGGCCAGAGACTGGATGTCAGAGGAGGCAGCTGGATTCATTATTCGTGTGGGTCTCACCCTTGCCTGAGGATCAGGTCCTTCTCACACCAGCTCTTGGAGGAGGTGACGTCCCGCTCTCCCCAGGGCCCAACCCTGGTCCCTGCTCTACCCTTCTTTCCCAAGCCTTCGCCCATCTGGCTGTTCTGTGCCTTCTCTGCCATCCCCCATTTCCACTTCCCACCTCTTCCACACCCCATTTCTCCCTTTCCTTCCCCTCAGATTACCCCAAACGCCCCTTCTCACTCCCGCTCTGCCCACTCATTCAATAATCATTAATTCAGTACCATTTCCGGGCACCTCCTGTGTGACAGCCACTATGGCAGCTACTGGGGTCGTAACAAGTGAACAGGACAGACAAGTCTGTGCTGCTGGGGGAGACAGACAAACTTGATGCTTGCAGATTGTGACAGATGCTATGAGGAAACTAACAGGATGGAGTGATCTAGAAAGGCCCCTGTGGCTGGGGGGGGGGTCAGGACAGGCCTCTCTGAGGAGGTGACACATGATGGGCTGAAGAGGAGCATCCAGGCAGAGGGAATAGCAAGTGCAAAGGCCCTGGGGTACAAAGGAATTTGGCATGTTCAGAAATAAAGTGGCCCGTGAGGCCAGAGATGATGAACTCAGAGGAGAGAGATGGGGTTGAAAGTTTACTCCTGTCCTGTCGTCCCCATTCTTACCCTCCCTTCTTCCATGCTCCCATGCCCTCCTATGCCCACTGGGCCCTCCCCTCCCCAGGAGACTGGCCGGTACCCTGCCTACAAGGAGATGGTTTCTGAGTACTGCTGGCTGGACCGACGTAAGTGGCTCGGGTCCCCAAGTTTGGAGGGAAAGGGCAGAGACCTGAGGGTGGGGCCAGGATCTCTGAAGAAGAAAGTAGGGTGCACAAAGATCCCCTCAGGCCCGTCCCATAGCCCAGAGCTATTTCTGGGCTCTCGGCTGAGAAGCTGCAGATCCAATTCCTGGCTGTTCTAGGGTCTGGTCTCAGTGGGTGAATAGAGGAGAAGCGACTTGCCTAAGGTCTCCCAACAAGTCAGTGGCAGGATTAGGGAGCAGCCGGTTCCCCAGACCCCACAGTCTAACCTTGGCTGCTGCCTGACTGATGTTCATTCCTCCACCCAGAGCCCAGGGGTGGTTTGCAAGCTGGGCAGGGCCCTGAAGCAAACGGGCAGACCCCTGAGCTGCCTCTACCTTCCCCACTCCCTGCAGTGAGCAACGGGGTGCTGCAGCAGCTGTCCCCTGCCTCTGAGAGCAGCTCCAGTGTCTCCTCCTGTGCCTCCAGTGCCCCCTACAGCTCAGGTTCCCTGCCCTCCGACCGCATGGACGTCTGCCTGGGCCCCGAGGAGCCGGGCAGCCACGGCCCAGGCTGGGGCCGGGCGGACACAGCTATGCAGACGGAGCCTGATGCGGGGGCCCACGTGGAGACCTGGTGCAGCGTGCGGCCCACAGTCATCCTCAGGGACACAGCCATCCGCTCTGATGGCCCCCCGCCTGCCCGCCGCCTCGATTCTGCACTCTCTGAGTCACCCAAGACTGCTTTGCTACTGGCCCTTAGCCGACCCCGGCCCCCCATCACACGCTCCCAGAGCCACCTGACCTTGTGGGGTATGTGGGGGATGGGTGGCTGCTGCTCTCTCCGCAGTCCCCTGGTCCCAAACCTGCCCCAGCCTCTGCCCCAGGCCTTGACTCAGCCCCAGAATATACTCAGACCCTGCACTAGGCTCCATTTTAAACTAGTCGTGGGCTCCAAACCAGCCCAACCCCAGCCCCTCCATCCTGGAGTTCCTAGGCCTGTTCACACACACATGCATACACACGCACACACACGCAGGCATGCCCTCCTCCAACTGGCCCGCAGTGCAGATTCTGTACATAGCTACAGCTGTGGGGTGGGGGGAAGGTGTCAGAAAGTTGGAAGAGGAGCCCCCCAGCCCCTCCCACCCTGCATGGCTGCAGATCCTGTCTGCCCTTCCTCTCCCTTCTTTCTGCCCCTCCCCACACCCCTGGCCCTCCAGCCCCCCGGGTGCTCCCTCGTGTCTGCAGAGGAGAAGAAGCAGCGAAAGAAGGAGAAGTCGGGGTCCCCGGGGGAGAAGGGTGCCCTGCAGCGCTCCAAGACGCTGATGAACCTCTTCTTCAAGGGAGGGCGGCAGGGGCGCCTAGCAGGGGACGGGCGCAGAGAGGCCTGGACGCTGGACAGCGGGAGCCTGGCCAAAGCCCGCCCTCGCCCAGATGTGGAGAAAGGTGAGTGCTGGGTTGATCAGACAGGAGGGCAGGGTGACGTCCGCTAGCCATGGCATCCAGCAGACCTGGGTTGAGACTTCGCACTGCATCTCACCAGCCGTGAGTTACCGCTCAACCCCTGCGAGCCTCAGCTTCCTCATGGGTAAAATGGGAGCAGTAATACCTACCTGTTCTTTAGGAGTAGTGAGGAACAAGTGAATGTAGATCACGTATGTAGATCACTTAGAATGCTGTCTGGCACACAGCAGGTGCACATGAAATGTAGTGGTTGTTATGGCATTGTTATTGCCTTATCTCCCCATTTTACAGAAGGGGAAACTGTTAGGGTCACAGCACAGCAAGGAAGCAGGAGAGCTCATGATTATCAGATCCTGTGCTCCTGGTGGTGGTGGCAGGGCACACTTTTCCTAGAGTGTTTGGCTTCACCTCCCCTGGCCAGAGCTCCACTGGCCCAACCCATTTCTAGAAGCATCCTTGAACAAGGCCATTTCTAGGTCTGGGCCCAGGCAGAAGGGTCCTGCCCAAGCTGAATCATATCAGGGACTTCCCAAGGACACTCACAAGAGGCCCTATCCTCTCTCTGGTGAGTTTCAGAGACTAGACCAAGAGTCACTAAGTTAGTTAAGATTCTTGGAGTTGCACATGACAGAAACTCAACTCCAAGTAGCTTTTTTTAAAAGCACTTCTTGGCTCCGCTACTGATTTAAACTGGGTCCAAAGGTCTGAATGATATCAGCAGATGTCTGTCCCCCTCTGTCTTTCCCATGGGTTAGCTTCATGATCACGTGGGCTTTGCCAACTAGGAGGTAAAGGGGCCACTACTGCTTAGCAACCCCAGGGCAAAGAGAGCTTCTCCTTAGACAGTTCAAGCAGAAGTCCCAGGACAGGGTCCCGTGCCGTGCTGAACAAGTCACTGTGATATGGGACAGAGAGAGATGCTTTCACTGGCCAGCCTGGGGCACATGCCCATCCTGGAGTACATGGGCTGAGAATGCGGGGAGGGGGCTGCGCAGGGAAAAATCAGGGTGCTGTTTCCAGAGGGGGAGTGGATGTGGGGGGGGCAAAACAAGCAGAGGATAAGGGGCTGGACCCTCCTCCACTCTGGGGTCAAATGTTCTGGGGTCTCAGGGTGACAGTCCATGGGAGAGAAAATTCCTTCAAACTCAAGCTGGCCAGTCGCCCTCCCTCAACGATCTCTCTTCCCACAGCTCCCAGGGCCCTGCTTTCTCCCGGTTCTCCCCCTCCTCTCTGGCCACTCTCTCCTTCAAAGGCTGCTCTTTCCCCTGTCCCCTGAAGGTAGGTGCCCCCAAGCTCAGTCCTCGAGGCTCCTCCCTCCACACATTTGCTTCCAATGAATCTGCACAAGCAGAGCTCAGACTGTACCCTCTCTTGATCCAGAACCTTCACTGGCTCCCCGTTGCCTAGTGGGACCTCCAAGTTCTTCATGGCTGGGTTTCTGGCCCCCCTGTCCCACCTACTTCTGGCCTGAACCCCCCGTCCCACCAGTCCTGAGCCCATCCAAACCCATTTTCAGATTGCAGCTGAGCCCCTTTCTTCTTCATGCAGGGGGCGTGGGGCCCGTGCAGAAGTTTGTCACCTGGAGACTGAGACGCGGTAATTCACACACATCCCTTTACCAAGGCCTGGTTTACAGTGGAGTGGTAGACACGGGGGTGGGCGTGCGGGGCCAGCTGAGTGGCTTTGGACTAAACTCAGCTGGGGTCAAGCAGGGGGAGCAGGCAGCTGGGGAGGTGCATATTGGGGCAGCTAAAACAATCAGACTAAGCTTGCTAGGTGAGGGGGTATGTTTAGGGCCTGTGTTAAGATTCCCAAAGACAGATTTGGGGCAATGAGGGAGCCTGTGCTGGGACTCCAATGGGGAACAGACTCCTATGACAGTGCCTGTCCACTGGGCTAAGCCTCTGTTAAGGAGCAGACTGGTACGGGGTCCGCGTTGGGGTTGAGGGGCCGTGGTTGGCACCCCATTGGTGGACTGGCTGCCATGGGAGACCATGGTAGGCAGCACAGGTCTGGGATTCTGTCTGGGAGCCTGGGCCTCTCATCTGGCCTCTTCTGGGCCCTGACCTGCTGAGGGAAGCCCCTGCCCTCCCTCGATGGCTCCTGGCTCCTCCATCACACCCTTTGCTCCTGCCCTGCAGACCGGGAGAGGGGCAGGGCCCTGCTCTCTGCCAGGTCCGGGAGCCCCTCCAGCCAGCTGCCCAGCGTGGATGAGCGAGTGCAGGCCTGGGAGAGCCGACGGCCCCTCATTCAGGACCTGGCCCGGCGCCTGCTGACCGACGATGAGGTGCTGGCCGTCACCCGCCACTGTTCCCGGGTAAGCCTTCAGCCGCCCCAGCATGTGGTCACTCAGTCACCCAGCCCCTTATTCATTCAGGCCACTGTCTACTGACCAGCATCTGGGCTCGATGACAGGAAGCCAATGGTCAGTAAAAACAGAAGTCACCCCTGTCACATACACCCTTACCTAGCGCACAGTTAGGAAGGGGAGGTGGACAGTGACTAGAACCTAAACACACATAGTGACAGTCACGTGAAGAGCTGTGAAGGGAAGCAGCATGAGAAGACAACCGGAGGGCACACATTAGGTGGTATGGTCTGGGAAGGCCTCTCGGAGGAGGTGATATTTAAGCTGAGGAGAGAAGGAGCCAGACAGGCGATGAGTAGGGGAAGAGTCCCTGCAGTCACCTGCCTCTGCCTCTCTAAGCCCCTGCTGTCCCCCCATGCCTCCTTCTGCTCTTGCGTCAGCCAGCGGGACTGGCCTCATGCCAGGCCCCTCCCCTGTTACCCAGGTAAGTAATCCTTGGCACCCCCCAGTCACCCCAACACCTACACTGTTCTCTGTTTCCTTCCACTTCCAACAGAACCACAGGGCCCCAGGGTGGGGGAGTCGGGTTTGAAGGAGTCCCTCGAGCCTGAATGTCGGGGAGGATGTGGAGGTGCAGCTTGCCCCCTCTGGGAGGATTGGAAGGTCCCCTCCTATCTCTCTGTCTTGGGAGAGCCCAGGCGCGCAGTTCTCAGCCCGTGTAAACCTGTGTGGTGTCCTGCGGTGGGCTTCCCGTGAGCACGTGTCGGTGCACGCTGTGTGTGAGGGCGAGCTGAGGGGTCTCGGAATATCGTTTGTGGGTTCCCCACCCCCACCTTGTTTAGGAGGGACTGCTTTGTATGTCCGTGTAGTGTGCACTGGTGTCTGTGGAGTAGCCGGTTTGCGTCTGTGTGTGAGCGTGCGTGTGGCTGGCTAGCGCATGTGTTCGTGCATTGACACCTGGAGACTGAGACACGATCATTCACGCATCCCTTTACCAAGGCCTGGTTCACAGCAGAGCTGCAGGTGGGGGTGCATGCTAGGGGGCAGCTAAGGGGCTTTGGGCTAACTCACAGGTGTTACCCTCATCTCTGCGCTGAGTGGGCCAGAGGGTACCAGCCTGTAGTGAGCTTGCAACTCCAGCTGTGGCCACAAGGTGGGGCTCCGTGTCTGTTTCTTTGGCCAGCTCCTTTTACCTACCCCTCCACTCCCCTCCCCTGCCCAAGCCAGGCTTCCTCTCACTGTGCCCTCACCACCTGCAGGGCGCCAGGTACCACCCAAACCTGGCCCAAGCCCCACCCACACCCAGAGATCAGACTCTGGGATGGAGGCCCGGCCAGAGTGATGAGTAAGGTTCCCCTAGTTACTCCGATGTGTGGCCCTAAGCCCCAGGCCTCCCCTCTCTCCTCCCTGAGCCATCTCCCCACAGCTGCCAGACCAGTGTCACACATCCCCTCTCCTGTCACTTTACATTCCCAAGCCACCTAGCGACCCATGTCTTTGGCAGAATAGAGGACAAGCTCCTTACCCTCACATACGAGGCCCTTCCTGATTTGACTTCTAACCCACCAACCTCGGCTCTCCCGCGGCCACCACGCAGGTTTACACAGCTTCTGAACCGCACCACTTTTGAGTGCTCTACTTGAGCATTAGTTCCAACCTGCACGGCCCTGCATAGAGGCACTTCATGGGACCCTGTGGCCAAGTGAACCCTTTGTCTATTCATTATTCCACACCACACTGGGAGCACTTTCCTCCTGTTTCTGCATCTACCCTCTAAGAATGAGTGACAATACCAGCCCCTCCATGAAGACCGCTCTGACGCTCCCACCTTCCTCTGAGAGTCCCTCTGCCCCATTGCCAGTGGTTTGTAGCTCACTGGGGTAGGTGACTCATCTGCCCCTCATTCTCAGCAGACTGAGTTCCTGAGGATCTGAGACAGGGTCTTCATTGTTGTGTCACCACTGCCCAGTACAGGGCCTGGCACTTAGTGGATGCTGAATGCATGTTTGTGGGATTGAAATGTGTGCATCTATGTGGCTGGTTCTGTGCAGTGGGTGTATCTCTCCTCGGACAAAAGGGGGTGTATTGTTGATATGTGGATGTGTGAGTCCCTGTAACTTATGTGTAGTTTAGGGCCACACATGGTTTGTATTTTATTTATTTCTAGATATTTATCAATGACCCCCTCTGATGGCCAGGGCACGCTCTGTGTCTATGCCCACAGGAGGTGGTCTGTGTGTGTGTGTGTGTGTGTGTGTGTGTGTGTGTGTGTCCCTGAATCAGTCTCCTTCTTGCCACCAGGGGGCGGTGTGCTGTCCAAGTAGGGTGGCTTCCAGTGTTCAGGTCTTCAGAAGGAGTGGGGTGTGGCTGGTGGCATCTCAGCAGTGCCAGGCAGAAGGGGCTCCAGCCCCAGGGCACTGACTGGACAGGGTTTCTGTAGAGCCCCCCTTCCCCAGGCCCCCCATTCCAGCCCTGAGCGAAGCCTAGCTCGTAGATGTGTGTGTGGACACATGCTGGGCCGCCAGGCCCACAGCCTCGTGTTGGCTCAAATTCCTTCCTTCTGCCTGGGAGGTGGGGGTGGGGAGAAGAGTCCACTCCCTGCACATCCTTTTCCGGTACCAGAGCAGGCAAGAGCCAGACTTCTCAGGTTCCAATCCCTCTTCGCAATTCCTGATCTGCCTGGCTTTGAACAAAGTCCTCCTCTCTAAGCCTCAGTTTCCTCATATGTAAAACAGGAATAATTAATGTCATTTCTCAGAGTGGCTGCTAAATAAGAGATCATATGAAAAAGGCTTAGAAAAGTGCCTGTCCCCAAACTTATTATTATTGTTGCTGTTTACTATAGGTCATTATTATTTCATGTTTCTATCTCTAGTCACCAAGATAAGACCATTCCATGGACAGCCTGGGGGTGGAGTGAACTTTTCCTAAGGCATGGATGCCTCCCAGAGCCCCTCAGGGCCCTGGCGTTTACCTTCACCCAGCTCGGAAGTCCCCCTGCTGTCTGACCTGTGGTACCTCTATCTGCAGTATGTGCACGAGGGTGGCGTGGAGGACCTGGTGAGGCCCCTGCTGGCCATTCTCGACAGGCCTGAGAAGCTGCTGCTGCTGAGGGACATCAGGTGGGGGGGCTGAGAGGAGGGCTGGGGCAGGAAAGGGATCCCTGATACCTCCCCAGGGCTGCAATTCCTCCCGGCAGCTCCAGAACTGAGCCCCTGCCCGCCCCCTTCCCCTGGCCCTCTCACAGGAGTGTGGTGGCCCCCACGGACCTGGGCCGCTTTGACAGCATGGTGATGCCTGTGGAGCTGGAGGCTTTCGAGGCCCTCAAGAGCAGGGCAGGTCAGCCGCTGGGGGTGGGGGGCAGGACTTCCGCATCCTGAGCCCGTGGGGACGGGGTGGGATGTCACAGCAGACACTGCCTGAGCCCTGAGATCCTGCCAGGGAGCCTGGGGGGAGCCTCGCCTCTGACCTGTTCTCCCCTCCAACCAGCCCGGCCTCCTGCTTTGCGACCTGCCCGGCAGGACACACCACCGAAGCGTCACCTCATCACCCCTGTGCCTGGTCAGTCAGAGTCCCACAGCCCAGGGAGGGGCACAAGCCTGGGGAGACGAGGGGAGGGAGGGTGGGCCTTCTGTCCCAGCCCCCACGGGGGACATATTGTGGGTCCCTGAAGGAAAGCTCTCGCCCGCCAGAGCCGTTTCCGTCCCGTCTGCTCACCACCTATATACCATTACTTACTTAATAGTTGGTTTGAAACCCACTCACTTTTTTTTTTTTTTTTGAGACAGAGTCTCGTTTTGTTGCCCAGGCTAGAGTGAGTGCTGTGGCATCAGCCTAGCTCACAGCAACCTCAAACTCCTGGGCTCAAGCAATCCTCCTGCCTCAGCCTCCCAAGTAGCTGGGACTACAGGCATGCGCCACCATGTCCAGCTAGTTTTTTTTTCTATATATATTAGTTGGCCAATTAATTTCTTTCTACTTATAGTAGAGATGGGGGTCTCGCTCTTGCTCAGGCTGGTTTCGAACTCCTGACTTTGAGCTATCTGCCCGCCTCGGCCTCCCAAGAGCTAGGATTACAGGCGTGAGCCACTGCGCCCGGCCAAACCCACTCACTTTTAACGTCTAGTCTCATTCTATGCAATAATCTCTGAGAAATTACCAGCTTGGTGTGCTAATAATATTTTTTCTTAGGTATATTAAAACAGAACTGCAACTATTAAAGTAGAAAGTATTAAAATGTCATTATGATAGAATGTGTTTGTCTGCCTGCCCCAGTGGGGCTCTCCCTGCTGCAGTAGGGCCTGGGAAAACCCAGGCTGGTTCGCATTGGCCCCGCACAGCCTGGCAGGGCCTTGGGCTGGAAAGGTGCTCTGGGTGGCAGGGAGAGTTGGCAGCCTGACCTTGGCCTTCTTCCCCAGACAGCCGCGGAGGCTTCTACCTGCTGCCCGCAAATGGCTTCTCGGAGGAGGATGATGCCGGGGAGCTGAGGGAGCAGCTGGGAGGCCTCAAGGTCTCCCTGAGTGCCCCTGCCCCCTGCCACTCTCATAAAGGGATCCCCCCTCTCCAAGACGTGCCAGTAGATGCCTTTGCCCCCCGCCGAAGCGCCTGCACACCCCCTCCCCAACCACCCCCCGTGGCTCCCTGGCCCCCACGGCCTAACTGGCTGCTGACAGAGCCCCTGAGCCTAGAGGGCCCCGGGCAGGGCCAGAGCCAGGGCCGGGCTCAGAGCCGCAGCCGCAGCCGGAGTCGAGGCAAGTCCCCTGGACGCAGGCGCTCCCCATCCCCGGCACCCATCCCCACCCCCAGCATGGCCAATGGGCGCTACCACAAGCCTCGGAAGGCCAGGCCCCCCCTGCCACGACCTCTGGATGGACAGGCAGCCAAGGTGGGGGGCAGGCAAGGGCCCTCCGAGAATGGAACTGGCGGGACAGTGGAGGAGGCAGCCATGCAGGCCCCCAGTGGGGAGTTGAGGACAGTCACTCTGTCCAAGATGAAGCAGTCCTTAGGTGAGTCCAGGTGGGACTGGGGCCAGCAGGGGGGACTCTGGGATTTGGGTGAGGAGGTTGATGGGCTTGGTTTTGGGGTGTGACTAAGGGGGCTGGGCCTAGGAAGAGAATCTGGGGTATTGAGGTATAGTTGGGGGTCTAGATTCGAGAGAGTTGGGACCTGGTAGATCTCAGAGTAAGATTTGAGTAGTAACAGAACCTGGGGGATTGTGAAAAGTTGGGGGCCCTGAATTTTGGGATGGGTCCTAGATTTGTCCCGAAGCTTGCATTTTGGGATGTGCTACACTCTCACTGTTTCTCACGTTCACTAGGCATCAGCATTTCCGGGGGCATTGAGTCCAAGGTGCAGCCCATGGTGAAGATAGAGAAGGTCTTCCCTGGTGGGGCCGCCTTCCTCAGTGGGGCCCTGCAGGTGGGTGAGGAGTGCCAAGGCCCACTCCTGGGGGAGCCTGGTGGGAGGTCGGGCTGGCACATGCTCACCTTCCAGCCAGACATGTTTAGACCAGGCTGTGGGAGGAGGCTTGGGGTTAGGGGGTTCAGAAGAGCAGGATCAGCAGGCCTGGGGAAAAATCTGTCCCCTCATGCTAGCCTGAGCCTAAGGCCGGCCCATCCTGTTCCACCCCACGCCCCAAGGGACAAAGGGCCCTTGTCTGTGCCCCACCCTGCCCCCAATAGCTCCAGGCACAAAAGCCCATTGTCCATCCCCTGCACCCAGATGGGGGAGGTGTGTCCTAGCTGGTAGAGGTGAGAGGACAGTGCCTTCAGGTGGGGTGGGTGGTGTGGGTGACTCTCCCACCCCATCCTAGGCTGGCTTCGAGCTTGTGGCAGTGGATGGAGAGAGCCTGGAGCAGGTGACCCACCAACGAGCAGTAGACACCATCCGTCGGGCTTATCGAAACAAGGCTCGGGAGCCCATGGAGCTTGTGGTCAGGGTCCCCAGGCCCAGCCCACTACCCTCACCCTCTGACTCATCAGCCCTCCCCGACCAGCGCCTTCCTGCTGACCGTCCCCCTGCCCACCAAGCCCGTGATGCTACTGAGGATCCCGTGCCCTGGCACCCAGAACCTCCCAACACCCAGCCCCCTCCCACGGATACTGGCCTCTTCCAGCCCACTCCCAGCCCAGTCCCCTCTCCAACCCTCCAGACTCCCGATACCCACCCCACCTCTCCCCACTTACCCCATGACCCTTCCCACTAACCTCAGACTCCCGCCAACCCTCAGCATCTCCCTGCTATCTCTGGGCCTCGCCTGCTGACTTCCTCAGGATGCAGGAACCTCCCGCTCCTACTTACCCTGCCCGCTCTGAGCTCCACTGGTGGCTCTCACCTCCCCACTTCCTTCCCTCCTCAGCCGTCACTAAGGCTCTGCCTTAAGCTTAGTGTCCAAGGACAAGGTGCTAGCGGGCAGCTTGTGTCACCTATACTCACTGCTCCCCAACCTCCCCAGATGGGAAAGGGGCTGAGAAACCCAACGTCTGGGGCCTGGGATTGGTGGGCACTTTCTCATGATGCCCCTTTGATTTCCCTCAAACATTGCGGGACGATGTGGACTCCCAGGGCCCTCAAGGGGTCAATGCATATACTCCCCATTCTGTGCAAGGGACAGGATGAAAGGCTATTCATTCCCTTGACCCCTGAGAGACCATTTCATGTTGGGGTCCACTAGGACCTCACTTTCTATGATTTTTCCTTCCCCCATTACCCTTTCTCCCCATAAGAGGGTAGGGAAGTTGCCAGCAAATAAAGAGGGAATGGGGGTCAAACAAGTTCCCATAATCTTTACCCAGCACACTTTTTTTAAACAAAAAAAAATTTTTTTAATGTTTTCTTTGGGTTTGTACAAGAATTTACAGTGTGAAAAATATACACATGAAAACGAGGCCATAAACCTGGGTGAAGGGAGGGGCTGCTTGGTCACAAACAAATAAACAAGACATTTCTGAGTTCTTCCTTTGGTCTGACTTCAGCCCCCTCACTCCAGGAGAAAGGCTGCAGAGCTGGAACCTGGGGGCCAGACCCCAGTCCCAGCCCTGTCCCCCAATGCGGGCAGGGTGGGGGTAGGCACATCTGGAGCAGCTGGTGCCGTCTGGCTCTCTCTGGCTTTGGGGTGGGGAGAATGTGGAGATGAGGATGTCCCTTCCTCTTCCAGCTCCCCGGCAGGAGTGGGCTGGAGGTGTCTGGGTGAGCAGGGTGGCACTGGCAGCAGTGGGGAGTGAAATGGGTAGAGTGAGTAGGAGCCTCTGGTGACAGTGAACAAAGGGACCTTTGAAGGGTCTGTTCTTGCTCCTCCAAGTCACAGGGCCACCTCGAGTTCTTGGCAGATCCTGGAGGACAAGTGGCTGTGGGGCCCTCAGACTCTGGGAGCCTCAGTGGACCCCAGGGCCTGAACAGATGCCAGCTACTGCCTATCTTCGGCAGAGCTCCCTGCAGAGCTGGGTGCGAGGTCCTAAATCTCGGTGGCAGTGATCTCCTCCAGGCAGATGCAGGGGGCCTGCTCGGCCAGGCCCAGATCTGCGAGCTCCCGGGCCTCCAGCTCCAGGCTGAGCTGCTGCAGCTCCTGCTCCAGCTGCCGGTTGCGCCGGTACATCTGGATGTAGTTGTGCTGCAGCTGCTTCTGGTATCGGATCACCTGCTCCTTCTCCGCCTGCCAGGCCAGCCTCTCCCCCTCAAAGCTGTCCCGCTGCTCCTCGCCCCGCTGCCGCTCCCGCTGCAGCTCCACCCGCAGCCGCTCCACCTGGGCCCGCAGGCTGCCCCCAACCCCTGCTGCCGCCCGCTGCACCTTGGCCTCATCACTCTCCGCCAGGAGGAATGGGTCAGTGGTGGCAGGTGGCACAGGGGGTTCCCGGAGTCCGGCTGCCTCAGCATCCAGCTGCCCGGCTTTCTCCCGCAGCCGCTCAGCCTCCTGGCGGTGCCGCTGCAGCTCCTGAGAACAAGCCTCCAGCTCCAGCTCCCGCGCCCGGGCTGCCTCCTGGAGGCCCCGCGCCCGGCCCTCACTGACCCGCAGTGTAGCTCGGGCCTCCCGCAATGCCACCCGCAGGGCCACCAGCTCAGTGCCCTTCTGCACCAGCTCTGCCTGAGACTCCTTCAGTTGCTGCTTCAGCAGGGAGATCTCGCCTGACTTCTGGCACACCTGTGGGGGCAGTAGTCGGGAAGGGTGGTGAGAAGGGTTTCCCTGGGGGACAGGCCCTGCTTATCATGCTGGGCATTTTGGGGAGAGGAGGTTTAATCATCATCATTTTACAGAAGGACACAGAGGCAAGTCTAGTGACATGTCCAAAGTCATACAGCTAGTATGTGGCTAAAGCAGAAAGCAGAGAGATCTTTTCCCTGCAAAGCTGGTGTCTTTAAACCATCACAAGACATTGTGGAAGCACCACCTAGCCCTGGGGACTGGGAGGTGACAGGTGCTGCAGGAGTGGAGCAATGGAGGGCAGTGCCCACACTGTCAGCTGAGAGGCACTACAGTGTCTCGGTTAAGAGCGCAGATATCAGAGCCAGACTGCCTGGGCTCAATTCTTCACTCTGCCACTGCTAGGTGTGATCCGGGTCTCCGGATCTTTCTGGGCCTCAGTCTGTTCATCTATAAAGAGGGGTGTTAATAGTGCCCTTCTCAAGGAGTTGCTACGAGGATTAATATGTGATATACTTAGAACAGTGCCTGTCACACTGCAAGCACTATGTTATTACTGGTTGGAAGGTAGGGGGACAGGAGTGCCACTGGCCACGTGGAGGCACAAGGAGACCTCCACCTAGAAAGGGACAGCAGAAGGGGATCCTCATCTCGTAGGCATAAGGGGGAATCTTCTGGGGGTGGCAGGCTGAGGGGGGTGTGGCTAGGCCCCTCTTGCCAGGTCTCATCCCTGTGTGACCCTTGCTCCCTTGTCCCTCCTATCCCGGCTCACCTCCCACTTGGTCTCCTCCAGCCTCGGCCCGAGCTCCCGCTGCTCCCGCTCCAAGGTGGCGCAGCGCCGCTCCAGCTGCTCACGCTCCTGCAGCAGCTGGGCAAAGTCATCCTGCAACTGCCGCTTTTCCTGCTGCAGCTGGAACACCTGCAGCTGCAGCAGCTGCTGGGCCCGCTGCGCCCGCTGCGCCTGGGCCGCACAGTCTTCTCGCAGGGCCTCACGCTCTCGCTGCCAGTGCCGCTGCCGCTCCTCGTATGCCTGTGGGTGACAAGGCAGACCTGGGTCCTGGGTAGCTACCCCAACCCCACTCCTTGACTGCCCTGGTGGCCCACTCTGGGCCCAGGGAGGGCGGATGCCATTAAACGATAATTGTGACAACAACAACTTTTACAACAACAGAAACAACAGCAATAATAATAGCAAGCACTTACATAGCACCGCCTAGAGGCCAGGCAGTTTTCTAGGCACTTTATACCCTTTGCCTTATTGAATCCTCAATAACCCTATGGAGCCAGAAGTACCCCCATTTACAGATGAAGAAACTAAGGCTGAGCAAGGTTAAGCAACTTGCTCAAGTCCACAAGACAGCAGCTGGCAGTGCCGGGTGTGAAGCATGCACTCGGGCTCCTTCCCACTCTATAGGTAGCCAACTGTAACTGCCCAACCCCCTCCCCCAAAACAGAAATGCCCCTTGCATTCCCAGGGCCTTGGGACATTCTGCCACACCATTCCCCATTATCACCACTGACCACACCTGGCATATGCTCGCCTCACTCTCGTCCAGATTGTCCCGCAGGTGCTGAAGCTCTGCCTCCCGGTCACGGAGCTTTCCTTCCAGGACACAGTGCAGCAGGGCCTCGTCCGAAGGGGGTGGAGGGGGTGGGGGTGGTGGGGAGCGCTCCCCATAGGAGCTGCTGTCAGGGGATGCCCGAGGACCACTGCCCAAGAGCCCCCCAGCCACGCGGCCCCCCAGTGAGCCCGTGCTCTTGCTGGAGGAAGATCGGCCACTGTCCGAGTGGGAGGGCCCAGTAGGGGCCCCTCGGACTGGCCCCAGCTGTGCCCCCCGCCCAGGGCCGTGGGAGGGCAGATGCCCACCTGGGGAGTTGGTGGCTGGCTCAGCACCCCCAGTACTGTAGGTAGGTAGGCTGGACAGTGAGTTTCGGCCAGAGTCGGACAGTGTTCCTGATGGGCAGCCACTGGCCCAGCCACTCAATGCCAGGGGTTTGTCAGCAGCCGAGGAAGAAGAGGAGGAAGAGGTGGAAGAGGCAGGGCCCCCAAACAGCTGTGTTAGGCTGCCCTGGCTCCCAGATAGCCCGGTGGCCCGAGGACCCAGGAAGCTAGGTAGGGATGGTGCCCCTCGAGGTTTGGGCAGCACCGGCTTGAAGGCTGTTGGGCGGATCAGGATTTTCTCCATGTTCTGAAATGAAGTGCCATGTGACACTGGGAGTGAGCTGCCCGATTTTGCAAAGGCCTATGATACTCCCTGCCCTCCCATCTGGGGTCCCCAATACCCACATATTAATAACAATTGTGACCACCAGCAGAGAGCCTCCTTGAGTGTCAGCTTTATGTCAAGTGCTTTGAAAGGTTTATCTCTAATTGCTACAACAGCCATAAGAGCAAAGTATTATCGCTGTCTCCATATTTCAGATGAGAAAATCGAAGTTTAGCCAGGTTAAAAGCCTTACCCAAAGTCAAATGCATAGCTACTGCAGAATGACAATAATTTAAGCAACTAGCATTTAGTGAGTGCATGGTAGGTGCCAGGCACTATGCTAAGCATTATTTAATTCTCACAACAATCCTATGAGGGCTGACCTATTACTTCCATTTCACAGATACAGGAACTGAGGCTCAGACAGGTTAAGTGAACTCCTTGAGGTCACAGAGCCAGAATGAGGCAGAGCTGGGATTAGATTCCAGGTCTGGTGAATCTGGAGCCCACACTCCTTTCTCTATACAAGCTTCCAAATTCCAGCTTCTCAAGAGGGGTCTTGATTCTACCCAGTTCCCTAAGGAAGAGCCGGTCCTCACCTTCTCCAGCTTTCCAGAGACAGGGATGAGCTTTGGTGGGGGGCCACGAAGGTGGGCATTGCATGCCCGTTGCTCTCGGGCATCTTCAACATCACTGCTTGGGCTGGGAGGTGACTCTGTCCGGAAGTCCTCATTGATGTAGGTGAAGGTGGTGCCTGGGACAGTCTTCCTGGGGGGCACAGCTGGGCACAGTGGCTCTTGTGCCTCATAGCCACCCCGAAGCAGCCCATCCTGCTGGCGGAAGAAGGTGGGCCCAGGCGGGCCTTGGTGGCGGGAAGGAGCTGGCCCCCCAGGGCAGGGCCGGCCTGAGATGAGGCTGCTCACGCTGCCCATGGCTGGAGCTTTCGGGGCAGTGGTAGCTTCAGGAGTGGGTTCCAGTGGCACTGGAAGAGTCTGCACAATGGCCATGGCAGCAGAAGCTCAGGCCTGGCCAGGGGCCTCCAAGGCAACCTGTGAGCAGGGCAGTGGTGTCAAAGTCCCTCCACTTTGAGCCCCCTTCCTATATAAGGCCCTGCCTGAGTCCTTGTCTTTTATTTATTTTTTTATTTTTTTGAGACAGAGTTTCACTCTGTTGCCTGAGCTAGAGTGCTGTAGTGTCAGCCTAGCTCACAGCAACCTCAAACTCCTGGTCTCAAGCGATCCTTCTTCCTTAGCCTTCCAAGTAGCTGGGACTACAGGCATGCGCCACCATGCCCGGCTAATTTTTTCTATATATTTTTTTAGTTGGCTAATTAATTTCTTTCTAATTTTAGTAGAGACAGGGTCTCGCTCTTGTTCAGGATGGTTTCGAACTATTGACCTTGAGCGATCTGCCCACCTTGGCCTCCCAAAGTGTTAGGATTACAGGCGTGAGCCACCAAGCCCAGCCTGAGTCCCTGTCTTGACCCCTTGATCCAGGCCAAATACCTCCTGCCATCAGTAACAAGCCTTGATCCTGCTCAAGACTTCCCCTCCAAGCACTGGCATGAACTTCAGTTCTCTCTGGGCCCCAGACCACTGCCCAACTCTGGTCTGAACAGGACTGAGGACTGAGCCCACTGAGCAGAAATGATAGCAGTGGGAGGGCTGGGGGGGTTATGCAGGGCCTCTTGGCAGCAGAGGCCCAGGCCCAAGCCTAGTCCACAGAGGACAGAACTCAGGTTAGTGAGGGAGCCCTCTCTACCAGCTCCTGGCACAGGTCCCTGGTCCTCTGGGACAGGTGGCCTCATTATAGGGCAGTTTGGACAGAGGCAACCTCAGGGATGCAATCAGTAACTCAGATGGTAATTAGGGAACAAAGAGCTAAGGCTAGGCAGTGCCCTGCCTCCCCCTGCTGGGCCTCAGTTTCTCCCAGACAGAGAGGCGGCAAGGGTAGATCTGGCCAAACAAGAAACCCACAGCTCTTAGGAGTCCACAGGTGCCCTCTGGGGTCTCCTGCTTCCCAGAGGGGGAAGTGGGCGCATGCTTGTTTCCATGACAACTCCTAGCCTTTCCACATCCAATCAGTCAGGCCTAAATGAGCCTACATAGGCCCTGCCCCACTGCCAACCTCTATGACACCTTTTAGCTTTAGATGTCCCCAAAGTAACCCTGAAGAGATGAAGGTGGAAGCCCCAACTCCAGCAGCTGCTCCAAGACCTCACTTACCCGGAGCCCAGGCAAGAGGGCTCCACTCTCCAGGCCCTGCTCCTTCCCGGAAGGGGACAGCAAGCCTCCACCCGGAACTCCCTCCCCAGTCCCGAGGCCACTGATGACCAGGACTTAGGCATCTGCTGAAGTCATCAAGCAGAGTAGGGGCCAAGAAGTGGACAGAGAATTTCAGGGGAGTAGGAGTGTGTGCATGTACTTATTGCGCGTGACTAAATGCACAGAAGCATGAAAATGAATACCGAGTGTATACTAAAATGTTGGAAAACATCATAAATGTGAATGAGTGTATGTATGTTAGGACAGATGTATCAGTACATTCATAGATACATGAACTCATGTGTGAATTCATATGTGTATATCTTACAAAAGAATATGGGTAACGGATGGTTAGAAAATATGTGATAGTTACAAATGCATGTACATGTAACATGTGGTGTATGAATGTGAACATGAGAAAATATGTTTGGATAGATGCATCAGTACATTCATGTCAACATGAGTTTATGTGTGTACTTTCAATGAGTGTGTGACCAGGAAGGTGAATGTGTGCAAGTGTGTACAGAGGAGTCTGCACGCATGTGAGAGTGGGTGGGAACGTGGGGGGTGTACAGGCCAACAGGCGAGTGGGAGCCTGTTTTTCCTCACTCTTCGGCGTGTGGGGAGAGGTGAGACACACATCATCTGATTCCTTTGCCTGATCTGTTCCCCTTCATTCTTGTTTGTGCTCCATTAAGTCCACCCCACTCCTCCCCTCCCAAGTAGAAAGCCACTCAGCACCAGGAAGGTGTCCAGACTGAGGCAGGAGTTGCTGGGAGCTGGGGGTAGGGGTGAGTGGTGAGGCCTGCTGCAGGGCTGGGAGCTGAGACCACCCACAAATCCCAGCCTAAGCAGAGCAAAGCAGATAGAGAGCCCTCTCTGATCCCCTCTCCAGGGCCACTCCAGGGCATGGAGAGAACAGTGGGGAAGGGGCTTCTTAAGGGGCAACTGGGCAGATCCCTCCATCTGCATTTCCCCACTTCAGTGAGCACAGAGAGTGAAAACTAAAGGGAGGAGACAGACAGACTCAGAGAAAGACAGGGACCCAAAAGACAAGAGACAAAGACTCAGAGAGGCCTAGAGGGTGGGGAAGACAAGGAGACAGGCAGGCAGACCCAGTGAGCTAGGGCCCCCGAAGCCCACCAAGCCAAGGGGCCCTAATTCCAGAGTGACAAAAAGCCGGGCCCTGAGAGCCAGACACCCTGGGAGCCAGAGCCAGGCGTCTGGAAGGCCAGGCCCAACCAGCCGGCTCCCGCTCCTGGAGCTGAGAGAGGAGGGGCAAGTGGAGGCTCCATTTTGAGAAATGCGTTTGTGGCTGTGGGAAAAGGGATCCCCTCAAGCCCCCCAGAACTCCCTGAGTAATCACTCCGGCCCTCCCTTTTAGTGGGCTGGGAGAGCTGAGGGCTGGGGCTCAGCCCAGGCTAGACAGGGGTCTGAGGAGTTGGGGAAAGTCTCCTCGGACCCGAACTCCAAGGAGCAGCCAGGCGGGATCAAGTCTGGGGTCTCGAGTTCCCACTCCGCGACAGGAGGGCAGGACCCCCCCCCCAGAGTCCAACCCACCCTCCAGAAAGTGGGGGCAGCTGTGGAATGCGGCCTCCCCGCTGGAGTCCACCGTGCAGAAGTTGGGGGCGCCCCAGGCCGCCTCCCAGCCCTGGCCCCCCCTCACCTCCGCCGCGCTGCTCCATGCTCAGCCCCGGGCCGCCCCCGAGCGCTCCACAGGCGCGCCGCCCGGCTCCAGCCCGCGCGCGGCCACTCCGAGCGCCCTGCCGGCCCCGCCCCGCCTCCGCGGCGCCCCCGGCCCGGGCCAGCCCCCGCCCGGCCCGAGTGGGCGGCGCCGCGCCGGGGAGGATCCGAGGGGCGTCCCCGCCCCTGGGGCGCGGACGCGCGCAAGACCCCACGTCACGCGTGTCCGCCGGGGCACACGCAGGGGCTGCACGGCGGCAGTCAGGGTTCCTCCGATGCCCAGTGACTGTGTCTGGGGGCTCGGTCGGCTCGGGACGCGGCGGCAGCAGGTCACCCTCTACCCCCAGTCGGGGCCCTGGGGCCAGCGGCAGCTGGTCATTGTTTGAGCACAAAGGGCCAAGGCGCAGTGGCGGCCGCCTCTCCCCCTCCTTTTCTCTAGTCGAGGCCTTCCCCCAGACACACTCTCGAGCTTCAGAGTCGAGGGGGAGTCCGGGGGTCAGCTGCCCCCTACTCCCCGGCTGCCCGGGCCCTGCGCCCCAGCACAAGTCGGGGGCCGAGGCTCTGCCGGAGCCTGCCCCACCCCCAGCGGGTCGGAGGCGGCACACTAGGATTTGTGGAGGCGGCGCCACCTGGCGGCCGGCTCGGAAAACACACTCAGTCGCCCCCACCACCGGGGCCCGCTCGGACTCCCCAGCACTGTGCGCTCTCCCGGGTGAGCCCAGGCCTGGCCCTGCGTCGGCCCTGTGATCCCCAACCTTCCCTCGGAGTCATTTGCTAAGAGAGAGGTCATTTCTCGGAGAGGGGCGGCCCCTAGCTCCCCAACAATCACTGGGGTGAGCCAGTCCAGACCTACGATCCAAATCTACACCAATCTTACTGCAGACATTGTACTTTCTCAGGGTCACAGATACTCTCACCTCTCACAAACAACACAATCTTAACACCCACACTACCTTTCCCACATTCAGTCTCGCCGCGCAGCCCAGTCTCATCACGTGGGTCCATGTTTCTTCTTTCCATAATCTTCCAGTCCAACTCACACAAAGACACACTCCTTGTCACACGCCTGTTGTGTATAGTCTTTCTCAATTCGCAGTCCTCCACACCCAGCCACAGTCTTAAACACACTGACTTTGTATCCTGACCATCTTTCACACATTGACCGTCTTAGTCACTCAGACAACTTCTTACACATCCACATCGTGTTTCACAAACATTTTACCACTCAGCCTTTCCCCCAGGGGTCTCTGTGGCCTGGTAAGGTCAGCTGATGCCCGTGCCCCTGGGCAAGGACAGCCTCTCTCCACCTAACGCCCCCACTCTCAGCCAAGGCCTGCCAGAGCTTGCCTTGGCCCCAGGAAGGAGCATCCCCCCCTTCCAGGCCACAGCCCTGGCCGGCTCTCAGTTCTATTTTTAGCTCTATGGAAAGGGTTGTTTTTCTTTCTTTTTCCCTGGAAAGGGAAACACAGCCCAGCCACCCTCAGGCTCACCCCAGACCTTCAGCTTCACAAGAACAGATTGAGCCCCTCTGCCCGGTAGAGACCTCCTCCTCTGGCCTTGCCCTGATCCCTGCCTCCTGGGGCACCAAGAGCCGCCTCCCCCTTCTGGCAGCCTGCCCAGCTCAGGCAGCAGCTGGGCTCAGCGTGTGTGCAGGGGTGGGGAGGGGAGGGGGAGGGGGCGGGGAGGGAGGCATAGGGCTGCTGCCCACTCCCTCATTCCCTGGGGGGAGGGGGGTTCGTCCTCCTTGCTACTAGAGGTAGGTAGGCTCTCTCTGGTATTGGGGTGTTTACACTCATGCATTCTCTTGGGGGAGGGGGGTCTCCCACTCCTGCAAGGGGTGGAGGTGGTAGTAGGAAGGGGACCACAGGCGCTCAGGCAGCTGCTCCCTGGGCTGGGAGTAAGGGGTGGGGGCAGCTGTCCAGGGCCATCAAGGGCCTCTCCCATACCTTCAGGGATGCAGACACCAGGAATGTGCTTGAGAGAAGGAAAGCGAGGAGCCCAAGTCACTCCACCCCGGCCCAGCAGTCTTCCTTCTTCCTGCGCCACCCCGGCTCCAGGGGGCGTTGCGCTCCCGTTTCTGGGAGAGGGCTACCACCGCTCCAGGCGGAGGATGGAATATAGTCCAGGATGGGACCAAGCAAACTCTCCCGAACTGTGGAGAGGGTCCTCGCCGTGTGGTGGGGTTGGGGGAGTAGTGTCCACTAGTCTGCAGAGCGATCACGCGCCAGGCGCCTGTTTACGTCTTAGTTTTCACCTGTGGGCGGCCGGGAAGCAGGAACCTCCGGATGCGTCCCACCCGGCCCGTCCCCGTCGGCGGTCACGGGGCTGCCCCTCTCCTCCACCTCCGCCAACGCCAGAGCAGAGTGCCCCGCCCGCTAGGGTCCTGCGCCGCTTGGCGCTGCCCCTGGGAGTGTAAGGTAAGCCACTGGACGCGTCCTTCCCGAGTGCACGTGTGTTCCAAGTGTGTGCGTGGGTCCGTGCACGCGTGTGTAAGAGACTGTCGATGTGAGTTTCTGTGTCGCTTCCCTGTTCAGGCTCTTCTCCTGCGTCCCCAACCCTCCTCACCTCAACCCCTAGCTTTCCCAGATACGGAAAGTTCGCTCCGTAGCGGGGATGTGTAGGAGGCAGGAGTTCCTACACCTCCGCCGCCCCACCACTCACCCAGTGCCACCTGCGCCTCCGCTCCAGCTCCGGACCGGCTCCTGCTCCAGCGCGCCCACCTCCTCGCCTCGAGAATGCGGGCTCCCCAGCCCGCTCTGGGCTCCGGGCTCCCGACTCCCGACTCCGGGTGCCCGCCAGGCCGGACCTGGTGGAGCGGGGCGGGGCAGCTGAAGCCGCGCCCCCTACCCAGCGAGGGGAGTGGTCTGCCCAGCACCCCCTCAACAGCCGACCCAGTACCCAGCCCAACAGTAGCTCAACGGTGGCCCAACGCTGAACCTCTGGCTTCTGACTTCATAGTTTACTGGGCTTGGCTTTCGACCCGGGGAAGGGGTGCTCAGCACGTGTCCGACAGCTAAGCTACTTGGCTATAGGGCTTGACTCTGCCACCCTCCCCTGCTAGGTAGGGAGCCCAACCGGGCTAACTCTAAATCCACTCCAAACACAAGGAAAACCCCTGGGTAGTAGAGACCGAAGGGTCGGGTTTCACCAAAACAGCTCCTACCACCACCATACACACACCTCGGCTGGGGGCTGCCCAAGCAGAACCAGCACCGCCCCTTCCCTGGAGTAGGTGTTGGCACAGGTGAGTAGGTCTGCCAGGTTTGGCCCCCCACATGGCATGGCTAGGCTTCCCTTAAACTCATAAAGTCCCACCCACAGGCACAAACAGGAAGTTGGCCCGTGTTGCAGAGGCATCAAGGGCTCCCTCCCTCCCTGGCACTCAGAACAGCCTGTGGAAAGGCGCTGGTCTACAGGTATCTGGGCCATATCTGCAGCCTGAGTACTTGGGCTGCAGGAGATCTCGGTGAGCTGTTTCTTCTCAAACCCATCCACAGTCGACAGAAAGCTGCTGGAAGACCAAAGCTGCCCCCTCGCAGCCAAGTACGACATGCAGACACTGTCAATCTGAGGACAGGGCTGCGGATCCACCTGCACCCAGCTTAGCCAGGCCCTTTCTTAGGGAGATTCTTTACAGCCAGTCGGACATAGGCAGATTACCAGGCCTGTCCCAATCATTTACACAGGTCCTAGGGATCCTCCACTTTCTCCACAGGGACTCCTGAACATACTTTGGGCCAGATCTTGAGATTGGGAGTTTAAGGCAGGTATGGAGTGGAATGTTTGTGCAAGGGGTGGGGTCAGGGGTATTACCTTCCTCTCCCCCTCATCATTCTGGTTTGTGCTGTGTGGGGGTGTCTACTAGGAGAGTGGAACAAGACAAACAGGCAAGTCTATGTCTATTCCTCTATCCCCAATTCACAGAGACCTCACAAAGGTCCCATACTGGGAACCCCTAAAGGATTTCCTGAGAACACATCAAGCATTCTAGGGAGACCAGAATGTGGAAACTGCATCCTTATAGGTAGTGATCTGGTGGTGTGCATCTGGAAGGCATGGCTGACGTTCAATGCTACAGACCCTGGATGAGGCCTAGATCAGCCAACGGCTGGGAATGATTACTGCAGGATTAGGGAGGCCTGGCTCCAGCCAGTCTGGGAGAGACCCCCAAGAAGGGAGGCCCTGGAGGAGCTATCCCCACCCCCAGGTTCTTCTGCACAGAGAACAGCTTTGCGGCAGCTCTGCTCTGGGGTCTGTTTCAGATGTTTGTGGCCACAGTTTTCACACACTATAGACCAGAGACCAAAGACCCTTCTAAAGGGTCCCAACCCGTTAGGTTGACAGGAAGACTTTGACAAGGCAGCCCTGATTCTAGGGAATAAGAAACCTTCCCCCAACCCTTACAAAAGGCTTCTTCCCAGTCCCCTCAGAGCACCTTGCATTTTCCCTACTCTTTCAGGCAAATCCAAAGGGAAACTGGGACTTTAGGATATCAGAGGACGAGAGATGAGAAAGTATTCATCATTTAGGAATATTTCTAACAGGGTCTCTGAATCACCTATATTAGTCACCTGCAAGGCCTGTTAAAAATGAGGATTATTGTACCCCTCCTTACACCTCCAGAATTAGAAATGTTTATGTGTGATAGGATGGAGGGGAGAAGGGGAGTGGAATAGGGCCTGGGTTCTGCATTTTTAACAAACCCCAGGGGTTCTGACACACATTTGTGTAAGAGAAACATGGAGAAGGTACAGAAGGAGGGAAATGGTAAGAGGGTTGAGATAAGAATACACGGGAGTCTGAGTCCACAAGGAGAGGGGAGTGGCTCACATCACAGACAGACAGCTGGTCAGGCAGGGTTTGGGCATGTGGCCCAGTGACCTATACCTCTACCAGGAATCACATGGAGATCCTCAGGGAAGTCAGGGATGAAGACACACCATCTTGTCTCCCCTAGGCCATGAAGAGCTGTATGGGGGAGATGGGGGTATGCAGGCCCTTTAATGTCCCTGCTTCCTTGGAAGCCCATAGCTGAGAGGCTAGATGTCTGGGAGGGGACTCATCCACTCCAAGTCAGAGAGGAAAACCCAGTTACAGACTGAGGAGACACCTGGTGGACAAATAGGAAAAAGCACACAAACAAAGGCAATGGAAAAATTTTTTTCAGTAAAACTGGAAAAGGCTATACAAAAAGTCCTAACTCGAGCTGTCTGTCTGATGCAGCATACAGTAAAATCAGTGTCCAGGTGGCAGGCACTCTGGGCTCACAGCTTTCTCTATGGCTCTTAGGGCCAAGCAATCCAGAAGGAGGTAGCTTCTACCTTTGAGGCCCAGAGATTATAGGGCTAAGCACCTAGGATCCAAGCAAGTGCTACCTCATGCCAGGCTCTACAATGCAGGGAGCAGAAGGCCTTAGAACCCACCACGTCACCTTTTGGCTCTGAAAGCATGGCTGGGGTTTTGGCAATAAGTCCCCTACTTTCCTCCAAGTTTAGGGGGTCTGACCTCATGGCCTTGAGTTTGACTTGCTCATTCCTACCTCAGAGCTCTATTTACTATTCTCTCTGCCTGGATCCCTCTTTCTCCAGATGGTCACCTGGCTCACTCCTGGTTCTTTTTTTTTTTTTTTTTTTTTTTTTTTTGAGACACAGTCTTGCTTTGTTGCCCAGGCTAAAGTGCCATGGCGTCAGCCTAGCTCACAGCAACCTCAATCTCCTGGGCTCAAGCAACCCTGCTACCTCAGCCTCCCGAGTAGCTGGGACTACAGGCATGCGCCACCATGCCCAGCTCATTTTTTCTATATATATTAGTTGGCCAATTAATTTCTTTCTGTTTATAGTAGAAACGGGGTCTCACTCTTGCTCAGGCTGGTTTCCAACTCCTGACCTTGAGCAATCTGCCCGCCTTGGCCTCCCAGAGAGCTAGGATTACAGGCGTGAGCCACCTTGCCAAACTCCTAGTTCTTTAGGCCCCAGCTCACACACCCTCTGCTCAGAGACACCGTTCTTAACTACTTATCTCAACTACCCTGCAAGCACTTTATCACATTACTGTTTTCTTTCTAGCATTTTTCACTAACTAAAACTATGTTTTATTTGTTCATTGCTTGCTTGTCTCTTCCACCAGAATGCAGGTTCTGTGGAAGCAGAGATCTTACGTATCTTTTCAGTGCTGTATACACGGGACCTTGAACAAAACCTGGCGCACAGTAGGTTCCCAAATATCTGCTAAATTGAATTAGGCTCCCTCAGACTGAAAAGGGCCCACAGCTCAGGACCACAGGAGAGAAGAGCCCTAGCAGAGGGCCCAGAGAGTCTATGCTCCAGCCTGTCCTATCAGGCTCATTTCAGCAGCCAGCTGGTGACAGCCTTCACCTTGAAGGTTTGGAGGTATCTGGCTGGTAGGGATTGGGGGCCTAGTCTGAGCAAGTCTCAGAGTTCTTGGGTGCAGCTCCCTTTTTGCCAGAAGATGGCTTTTTAGCCACTAGTCCATTGTCATCCTTGATTTTCTTGAGCCGCGACTTGCTCTTTGGTGGGATGGAGAAGGTGAGGGAATTCTTGTTGAACTCAAGTGGGAAGACACCTATATCTCCATCAAAGCGGTTTTTGGACACCTGCAAATACCGTTTCCCTGGCCCAGTTACCAGTTTCCTGTCCTGCAGGATTAGAATGTTGTCTGCCTCCTGGCTTGCCTAGGGGAAAGAGGGCAGAAGGAGGCAAGAGTTAGACATATGAGTGAAGCAGAAAGGAAGGTTGAGGGTGCAGGGAGAAGTGATAAAAATGGGGAAAGGTCTTTGAACTACTGACCGCAATGCTGGGGCCACTCACATCTTTTAGTGCCCTGACAACAAGCTTGCTGCTATCCTAGATTTTGCACGTGCTGTTCCCTCTCCTTCTCCTTCACAGCTGGCCACCCACTCAACCTCAGCTTCTCTTCATTCAGGTCTCAATCCAAATGTCACACTGTATCCGAGAGACCATTCTTTTTTTTTTTTTTGAGACAGAGTCTCATTCTCTTGGCCAGGTTAGAGTGCCGGGGCGTCAGCTTAGCTCACAGTAACCTCAAACTTCTGGGCTCAAGCGATCCTCCTGCCTCAGCCTCCCAAGTATCTGGGACTATAGGCATGTGCCACCATGCCCAGCTAATGTTTTTTATTTTTTAGTAGAGACAGGGTCTCGCACTCCTGAGCTCAAACAACCCATCTGCCTTGGCCTCCCAGAGTGCTAGGATTACAGGCGTGAGCCACCCTGCAGCCAAGAGACCATTCTTGATCTCCTTACATAAAGCAAGCACCACTGTTTTTTTATTTCTGCATAATTCTTTCCCAACTCTAGTTAGTGCAAAATGCTAGAAAGAAAACAGTAATGTGATAAAGTGCTTGCAGGGTAGTTGAGATAAGTAGTTAAGAACGGTGTCTCTGAGCAGAGGGCGTGTGAGCTGGGGCCTAAAGAACTAGGAGTTGGCAAGGTGGCTCATGCCTGTAATCCTAGCTCTCTGGGAGGCCGAGGCGGGCAGATTGCTCAAGGTCAGGAGTTGGAAACCAGCCTGAGCAAGAGTGAGACCCCGTTTCTACTATAAACAGAATGAAATTCTTTCCCAACTCTAGTATGGCTACTGGAACAAATGTAGTTCGTGCTCCTTGTCTTGAATTCCTGTGCCCAGCCCAGGCTAGGCATGTAATAGGCACTCAGTGTACCACTAGGAGCTCCAGAATGGGGCTGGTCCTGGTATCAGAAGGCCCTCCCATTTATTTGATTATCTAATACTATTGTCTGCCCAACTTCAACTCAACTTTGTTTGTTTGTTTTTGAGACAGAGTCTTGCTCTGTTGCCCAGGCTAGGGTACCATGGCGTCAGCCTAGCTCACAACCTCAAACTCCTGGGCTCAAGCAATCCTACTACCTCAGCCTCCTGAGTAGCTGGGACTACAGGCATGCACCACTATGCCCAGCTAGGCTAATTTTTTCCATATATATTAGTTGGCCAATTAATTTCTTTCTATTTATAGTAGAGACAGGGTCTCGCTCTTGCTCAGGCTGGTTTCGAACTCCTGACCTCGAGCAATCCGCCCGCCTCAGCCTCCCAGAGTGCTAGGATTATAGGCATGAGCCACCATGCCCAGCCCTTACCAGCCCTCAACTCAACATTTCGTTGATACCTCCTCTGGGAAGTCTCCCCAGATGTCCCAGCTGACTTGTATCTTTTCTCTGTGTTCCCCAAATACTTGTGCTGTCTATCCTAGCTCTTCTAACACTGAGTTGTAATCACTATCTCATTGTGTCCCCACCTAGAGGTTGTGAGCTCCTGAAGGGCAAGGAGGGCAAAGGACCAACTATTATGAAACTGAGTATTCCTAGCACACATATATTCCTCACGTGAAGGCCCAGAGGCACTGCCTCCAGCCTGCTCCAGATTGATAGTCAAGGAGTGTTAAAAATTAGGATTATTGGCTGGGTGTGGTGGCTCACACCTGTAATCCTAGCACTTTGGGAGTCCAAAGTGGGAGGACAGCTCAAGGTCAGGAGTTCGAGACCTGCCTGAGCAAGAGTGAGACCCCGTCTCCATTAAAAATAGAAAGAAATTAGCTGGGTAACTAAAAATATATAGAAAAAATTATCTGGGCATGGTGGTGCATGCTTGTAGTCCCAGCTACTTGGGAGGCTGAAGCAGGAGGATTGCTTGAACCTAGAAATTTGAGGTTGCTGTCAGCTAAGCTAAAGCCATGGCACTCTAGCCTGAGCAACAGAGTGAGACTCTGTCTCAAAAAAGAAAATGAGGATTACTGTATCCCACCTCAAACCTTTCTCAACATGATTTTAGGCTGAATGATAGCTGCCCCCGTACTCTCCAAAGCTTGAGCTCCTCTAAAGACCACTCACTTTGGCTGAGCCAAAAATGGATGCTGTCTGCAGTTCTTTGTCATCATCCTCTTTCCGGGGGTGAATGACGAGTGTCACATGGCAGCTACTATCTGTTGCAAACTTCCGAAAGGCCCCAACAATGTAGTCTTGAGCTGCTATCCTGTCTCAACAATGCAAAGAGGTTATCAGACACAAGAGGACAAGAACATGTTCATATTATTGATTCATTCATACCTCTCACAAACCAACACAACCCATTCCACCTCCCTCTACCCAAGACTCGCAGTCAAGTCCCTGTCCATACTTTCTGTTGCCATACCCCATACCTCCATATAATACGTGTGGGGTGGTATGTATCTGTACGCATCCCAGAAAATAGGAGAGTACAGTGTGTGTGCCCAGAAGCCAGCTGCCTGAGAAGACATGCGAGTTCAATTGGGTTCAAGCTAGACAAGAGGAGGATGTCACCTGTCTGTGGACAGCTGCTCCTGACCCATCATGAACTGCAGATTGTCGATAACCACGTGACAAATGTCATAGACATAGACTGCATGTTGCATTGTGTCTATTACAGTCCTGGGAAGAGGAAAGGGCAATGAATTCAAGAGTCAATCACAAGCTATCTCCAAAGCACCCCAGGCAGAAGAGCTAGCATACTGAAAACTCTCATGGTCACCTATTCTGACCTCCCAAACCTGTCTAAGGAGACCTAGAAGAAGTTCCCATTGGAGCTGGAAAAGCAACCAAAATTCCTGAGTGCTGGGATCTGTCTGGGAAAGCAAAGTGGCTGGAATGTGGGTGGGGAGCGGGGATCTTACTTGATGCTCTGCTGCCCATGGAAAGTCATGAAATAGAGGGGCAGGTCTTCAAAGCGGTCGGCCCACTCATCATATTTGTCCAGTTGCTCTTCCAGCCTCCCCATAGCAAACTGTGTCAGCATGACCCGGGCTAGTCTCACGTTGCTGATCTCAAAGCTACCCCATAGTGTGTTCACCCCCTGGGAACACAAATCCAAGGCATACTCGCTGATGAATGTCGTCTTTCCACTGCCTGTTGGCCCTGCAGGGGGGTTGAACAGGAACCTGGGTGAGGAGGAAGTCCCACCCTTGAAACCAAGACACAGGTCAGGGCTTCAAAGTTGGCAGGGGAAATCTTTTCAACATTTTTGTGGCCCAAACCCACATGCCTTTGTTACCTGATCCTCTGTCCCTTTACCCCAGTGATTTCCCAAAGGGTTACCTGTGAAGACTGTCAGCTCGCCCTTCCGATGCCCCTTCAAGAGACGACTGAGATCTGGAAAGCGGCTCCAGCGGACACCAGCTACCTGCTCCACATTTGACAGTTCTCCTAGCACCTCCTCCCGAAGCTGCCGGAAAGACACGATGGACTTGTGCCAGGCAGGCAGGGCAGAACGAAGAATACGAGAAAGATTTAAGCCCTGGTTAAGTGCCTCCAGGGGACAGGGCTGCTGGTCCCCAGGCCGGACCAAGGAGCATCGCTTGGGGTTCAGTTTTCGAGCAAACAATTTGGCAGCTTCCCAGGACCGAAGGTCATCCCCCAACCAGAACACAATACGTCGGAACTGTTCAAGGTAAGGGAGTAAGGCAGGGGGCAGGCAAGATGTTCCTCGGGGTAGGGCAAGGGTGGGCAGCCCCATGGACTGGTTCAAGGCCAGGCTGTCAAGCTCACGACTGGTCAATACCACCTCAACATCTCGACGACTGATCAGTGGTAATCCGAACAGATTGTGGTAGGCACCAGGCCGGGGAATGGTGGTCTCCACATAGTGTACTCCATTTCCCTGGTGTTCAGCCCCTAATAGCTTCAGGCCTCGTAATCTCAAGCTTCCAGGGGAGAACCAAGGGAAGACAAGGCTGCAAGCAGACCGCAGATACCGCACGCTGAAACGCCTGAGTGTATCATCTGTAACCTTGTTAAGGCCAAACATTGTACGAGCCAGTTGTACCTCCTCTGGGTCAGGCAGCTCCCAGAGAGGTACAGCTCGGTCCCAGATCCTCTGGACCTCCTCAATGTCCTCAGCTTCTGGGGCCTTACTAAGCAGGACCCCCTCTCTGGTCCCATCCCCTTGCCCCTCCACACTGGCCTGGAAGTCTTCCCAGCTCCCCTCTGCTAGGCTGGTCATGCAAAGAAAGCGGCCTGTGGTCTTGTCAATGAAAAGGCTGAAGGAATTGGCAACATCAGTCTGGTCCTTGAGCTGTGAAGACTCCACAAAAGGGCTTGGTGCCCGCAGGCAGCTGTGGCCATCTTGGAAGGGGATCCCATGACCCCGCAAATACTGGCGGATTTCAGTTGTAGTTACAGGCAATACTGGTACCTCCAAGGCTGGGAGAGCTTCCTTTCTGTACCGTCTGCGAGGAGGGCCTGGGACCAAGTTTCGGGGTAGTCCTCTCTGACCCATCCACACCCCACGGAGGGGCAGCAAGATGCGGAGGCGGTACCCACCTCGGAGAAGAACCCACATTCCTAGCCAAATGTAGGAAGTCACTACTTGAAATAACTTAGGTGCCTGGTTTGGGTGTCTTCACTAGGCCAGACCCCAGGGATGCTCCACACAGTATTCTACAGAGCTCACTCTAGGGGGCTTCTCTCTCTCCTCAAACATCTTCCTCATAAACATCCCCTGGATCTTCTTTATCCCCTCTACACTGCTACCTCACATCTATGCCCATTTGCACCACCCTTTCATGTGTATGTCCCTTCAAAATGGCGCCCTTAATCGATGGTCCTTTTACAGTTTCTCTCCACCACCAACTCACCTCTACGACGGTCTACAGAACTCTACACAATTTCTCCCTGAAATGGTTTCTATATATCATCTCCTCACCTCTACTGCCCCTCTACAGAATCTCCTCGTCGTCCTCATCTCTACAGCCATCTGCATCCTTTTTGTAGTCCTTCTGCTCTAGGTCCCGACTGGAGACCCTCTATGCTGCTCCTTCCCTCGCTGGGACCTCTGCACGGCTAGAGCGCCACTACACGACCCCGGCCGCTCTCCGAGCCCAAAGGAATGCCCACCTCGCTGGCCTCCCCGTGCCTTCCCGCCGCTCTACTACTAGCTGCTCTGCAGCTCAGGACCCTGGCCCCGCGTCGTCACTGTCGTCTCGCCCTTCTCTCCCGCAACATGTGTCACTCGAACGCACCACACGCCTTGACCTCGGAAACAAAACTCCCCGGGAGCGGATGTCCCGGAACCGGAAGTCTCCAGGTTTAGTCCTGCCCACCGCTCCTCGCCATTTGCCTTCGCCGCCTCAGAGCTGCTTCCATGACCGGGCGCGGGACTCCAAGCCGCTTCCTGACCAGTGTCCTCCACAACGGGCTGGGTCGCTATGTGCAGCAGCTGCAGCGTCTCAGCTTCAGCCTCAGCCGCGACGGGCCCTCTTCCCGCGGTGCTAGGTGAGCGGAAGGAGGTGGGCGGGCGGGGATGGGGAATAGTAACGACTCCCGGCGGAGGTCGCTCCAGGTCACGAGTCACAGTGCTAACCCTTCTCGGGTTCCTCAGGGAGTTCATCGAACGGGAGGTGACCGACTTCGCCCGACGGAACCCCGGGGTCGTAATGTACGTGAACCTGCGGCCCTGCTGCGTGCCCAGAGTAGTGGCCGAATACCGTGAGTGGGGTCGGGCTAGAGCTGAAGGGCGGGATGGGGTCTCAGCCCGCTTAGCCTCTTTATCTGACACCTAACCGGCCTACTCACTCCCCACCTTCCTTTTGCCAGTTAACGGGGCTGTGCGCGAGGAGAGCATGCACTGCAAGTCGGTCGAGGAGATCGTGACGCTAGTGCAGAAGTTGGCAGACCAGTCTGGCCTGGAGGTGATCCGCATCCGAAAGCCCTTCCACACGGACAGCCCTAGCATCCAGGGCCAGTGGCAGCCCTTCACCAACAAACCGACCACGTTTGGTGGGCTACGCCCCCGAGAGGTCCTGGATCTTGCCTCAGCCGAGGTGCAAGCACAGTGAAGAGTTGCCCCATCAACTCCAAACCCAGGCTTTGGACTCTTACTCCAGTAAAGGTGGTTTCTCCTCTTTGAGATTCCAAGCTTAGGCAGACAAATGGAACCCCCACCAAAGGGGAAGTTGACACCAGAGGTTTTGCTTGGGCTAAAGAACAGCTGCCTTTTTCTTTTCAGTGCCCACTTCTAGGGGCAGTAACCTTGTGAGTCCCCTAATTCTTACCCCGTGGCATCACTGAAACCTGAGCTGAGAGAGCCTTCAAGGTTTTTATTTTATTTTCTCAAGTCCAAATTAGTAACAGTGATCTCAAAACACAATAAGGAGTCTCAAGTCTGACTTCTAAATAATCTTTGATATCTTGTTGCTACAACCATTGAGCTAGAGAGAGTTAGCTGTTCTCTGCTGCAAGCCTGGCATAGGGCTATGCTCTTTACATCTGTGTGAATGTTTGTGTACAGATTAGAAAACTGAGGTTAATAAACTTACTCAAGGTCACACTTGAGGTCTTATTTCAAAATATGTGCATATTCTAAGCATAAGCCCTATTTTTCATTATTAGAAAACCAGGAGCAGAACACACAACAACCTTTCAGGGTGGTTAGTATCAAAGGCCATGTGCTTAATCTAGGCCTGACCTCTGGAGGGAGTGATTGTCAGACCAGGTCCCCGGTAACAAGCCCCAGGTGCACAACCCCCCTCCTGCAGACCCCTCTTTGTACAGAAATGAATCCATGTCTTCCCTTGCGTCAGTGGGTGGGGGGTGCTGAAAAGCCTCTTAAGGAAGAGCAGGAAAGGAGGGCTGATAAATAAGGAGTATGTTTTAGGCTTAGTTTTTAAAAGGGAGGGATGGTGAGGAAATGAGAGCCAATAAATAAAAATCTGAGAACTCTTGTATGAATTCTTGAACTGTTGTCATTTTCCTTGTTTGTCATGCCCTATCACCATGATCAATGGATGGCGTGAGCCTTAGTAAAAGGGCCTTTGTGCCTGCCCAGGATAGCCAGGATAGAAGCTGATGACCCGAATTTTCTCTGCAAGTGGCTTTATGGGGAGCAGAACCAACCCTGGATGCAGAAACATTGCAGCACCTTTTCTATGGGCTCAAGAGCCTATCCCCTGGTGATCAGGGGTAGGCTAGTCTACACCAAGCAGAGTACTCGTAGCCATGGGGAAAGAGGGTATTTATTAACCAACACAGGGAGGAGCTGAGTCCAGCTCCCCACTCTGTCACATGTCTCTTCCACCCACCTGGGTGGTGAGTAGGGGCATTCCTAAAGAAGTATAGCCATTCTCACAATAAATACATTCATTGTGGGGTGGAGGTGGGAGAGGTTGGGTGAAGGGCAGTAAAAACCCGTGGGATTCCACGTTCTCAGCTACAAAAATAAGTCATCCTCACCCAAAGGGTATGGGGGAACTCAGGATTGATTGTCCCATATGGGCCTAGAGATATCAGAGGCCCCTGGAACCTGAAAGTGCCCCGGTGAGGTAGGACAGGGGTGGGAGCCAAACATTCAAACTCCCAGCCTCTGCCCTTTGCATAGTTCCAAGAACGGGCTTCATGTGCCAGTTGAGACATCAGATCTTTCCTCCCTTCCCCTGCTGTGGACTAGGGGAAGCAAATGCTTGGTCCCCAAGAGGGAGGCTAGCTCACTGAGTGCAGTGTTGGTCATCCATCCTAGGGAAGGGTGTGTGAAGACAGCTAAATAGGAGGGGGATCTCCCTCTGAAATGTCCATGGACCAAACCCGACAGGTGGATCTGAGGCAGCAAGAGGCGGCTCAGAAGGTGCATGTGAGAAGTGTAAGCACATGTGCGAGATACAAGTTTGTTTTACCACATGTGCATGGGGAAGGGACAGGTCTGGAGGTCTGTCTCTTGAGAATGACCAGGGGGAGTGGGGAGGCTGACTCACAAGGGCTGCACAGGAAAGGAGAAGAGGGGAACAATGCAGTCTTACCTCCCCAGGCTGGCCTGTTCCCAAGCTCTTGCCAAAGAGGTCACCACATGGAGCTGGGACTGGGGAAGAGGACTAGAATGGGATGTGACAAGTCCAGAAAAGGGGATGAAACCAAGAATGTACAAGGAGAAGGCGGGAATGGGGACACTGCAGCCCAGCTGATAAAAACTATTCCATGTGCACATGTGAATGTATGCAGGGCTCAAGTGGCTGGCAGAGGTCTTGTCTGGCTTCAGGACCATCCAGCACACAGGGCCATGCAGAGGGTGATGACATTGAGGCCATCTGGACCTGCAGAGCCCTGCCTGGGAGAAAGAGAAAGGGTTTGGGCAGATGAATGTGTTAGGAGGATGGAGTCCTCTCCTCCCAAGTGTGCAGGTTAAAGGGATAGGAACTGGGTCTGGGTCTGCAGAGCACCTGGTCCTGAGGGAGCACCTACCTCTGAGGAGCACCGATGGGCCTGGGCTGCTCACATGTGGGTCTGTGGAGACTGAGGAGGGGGCTTTGGCTAGGCCTGACTCTGGCCAGCCCTACAGGGACATTAAAAAGTTGGGAGAAGGGCAAGGAGTGGGGGCTGTGAAGGTAGGGTGGCTGTTAGGAGGGCAGCTGCCCAGCCTGGGGTACACAGCCTGGCTTGGAGGAGGCTGGGCTCAGACAGAGCTCTCATCTAGCTGCTCTACGAGTTGCGTGTGCTTCCTCTTCTCCAGGATGCGGCTGAGTTCCTCCGTGAAGGAGCAGGGCCCTGCCGGTACTCCATTGTTGCTCTGCCTCAGGAGCACGTAGCTGTTGCCATTCATCCTTCGCAGCCGGCTGGGCAGTGCCACCAGCCCATTGGTCAGCTCAGCCGGTGGTGGGGGGGGCGGTGGGGGTGGTGGGGCTGGGGCTCCCTCCCCAGGGATGATCTGGAGGCAGCTGCCATCCAGGCCCCCACCCCCCTCCCCGTCGTCACCCTCATCTTCCTCTCCAGGACACTGGCCTGAGACTGTCTGCAGCTGCACAGCAGATCCCCCTGCTAGGCCAGCCCGACCCAGTGAGTATTTCCGGCGGCGCCCTCGCCTGCCTTCTCGCAGACAGGCCACATAAAGGAGGGAGGAGGCCAGGATGAGGCAGAGGCCACCAAGTGCAGCAATGGCTAGCACATAGAGCAGCTTCACATCAGGTGCCAACTGTGCCCCAGGCATGGCAGGGGCTTGTGGAGCTGGGGCAGGAGTGGCCGGCCGGACCATGAGGCTATAGGAGGCCAGCAAAGTGCGGAGGCCATTCTCTTCAGCATAGCAGCCATAGTTGCCACTGTGCTCGGGCTGTGTGTCTGTCACTAGCAGCCCATCCACACCCACGCGGTAGCCATCCTGCCCATCATTCAGGCCCATGCTCCCATTGAGTAGCCACAAGGCCCGGGCCAGGTTGGACGGCTGGTCACAGGGCAGGAGGACATCATCACCCCGAAGCACAGAGCGGATCTTCAGTGGTGGTGGCGGCCCTGGGAGGGGAAGGGAGAGGTCAATGCTTGCATTGAAGATGCAAGCCAGATTGTTCACTGCTAAGTCCCGGACAGCAAGCACAGAATCTAGAGTCACAGGGACAGCTGAGCAAGCCTCTGTGCTCATGCTTCTACGTAAGGCTCACACTGGCTCTTCCCAGGAAGCAGGCAGTGCCTTGGGCCCTTTTCCATTCTCTCTCCATGCTCTCGTCCTCTCCTGTGGTTTCAATTCTTGCCATCTGCCAATGACTCCTGATCTCTACTTCCAGCACAGACCTCTCTCCTGAGTGCCAGACTTGAATGTCTACCATGTGCTGGACGTTTCCATGTGAGGTCTCACATTTCCATGTGAGTCCTTGGGCACTTCATTAAGACCGAAGCATGTCTCCCAAGCGACAACAGGTCATTTCCTTGTATTGCCACCACTGTGAACGGCACCACCAGCTACCCAGCTGCTTGTCAGAAACCTGGGAGTTTCCCTTGCCACTCTTTCTTCCTCAACTATGTATCCAACCCTCACCAAGAATCTGTTTCCAGAATCTACCTCAAACCCATTTACTTCTCCTTCTATGACTGCCAGCCTACTCTGGCTCCCAGCTAATCCATTCTCCATGGAGCAATGGGGTGATCTTTTATTTTATTTATTTATTTATTTTGAGACAGAGTCTCATTCTGTTGCCTGGGCTAGAGTGCCGTGGTGTCAGCTTAGCTCACAGCAACCTCAAATTCCCAGGCTCAAGCAATCCTTCTGCCTCAGCCTCTCGAGTAGCTGGGACTAGAGACATGCGCTACCATGCCTGGCTAAGTTTTTCTATATATTTTTAGTTGTCCAGCTAATTTCTTTCTGTTTTTTTAGTAGAGACAGGGTCTCGCTCTTGCTCAGGCTGGTCTCGAACTCCTGACCTTGAGCGATCCACCTGCCTCAGACTCCCAAAGTGCTAAGATTACAGGCGTGAGCCACTGTGCCCAGCCATGAGGTGATCTTTTAAAAACACAAATCCAATCATGCCACTCCCCCACCTAAAATTCTTCAGAAACCTTTTTTTTTTCAGATAAAGACCCAAATCTTCACCATGGTCCCTGCCCACTTCTCCAGCCTATTCTGTTGATCAGACACACCAAGCTTCCTTTGCCTGCTGTTTCTTCTGCTTGGGTGTGTTTGCCCTACCCTGAACCCTCCACTTGTGGGAGACAGCATAGCAACTAAGCTATGGAAGCACAAACTCAAGTCAGACTGCTTGCAGTCAGGTTTGAATTCAGATCCTGCTGCTTAATAGCTGAATAACTATGAGCAGTTCACTTGTGCTCCTGTGCCTCAGAGAGGTTGTCCCTCATGGGGATAATAATAATGGCACCTCACTCAGGAATAAATGTCATTGTGCATAGAAGTGTTTAGATCTGTGCCTGGCACATAGTAAGTACTCAGTACATCTTGGCTATGATTGTTAACTTTTCTTCTACCTTCAGATATCTGATCTTCCTTGGGGACCATTACCCTTTTGAAGCCTTTTCACAGTTGTAATTATTAATAAGTATAATCATTTGTGTGATCATTTGATTGCCTACCTGCTCCCCCATCACCACCACTTGCTATAAGCACCAGAAGTGAGAAGACACTTCCCGTATTGAACCTGTTTCCTCATTTACAGTTCATTTGGATGGTAAATGTTTGCTGAGCACTTACTCTGTGCCAGGCTCTGTGTTGGGTCATCCTCACCAAAAGCACACAGACACAGCCACTCAGATACAAACATGCACATAACTGATGACAGTAAATGGTAGAGAGCACAGATGCTGCTAGACCCACACACATTCATGAGTGTCACTTACCTCTATCTCTGCTGCCCTCACAGCCTCGATTTCCTCTCTCAATGTCCTGTATCAGTGCTGTCCTGGGGGCAGAAGTTCAGGATTCATGAGCAAGGGGAACTGGGCTTCAGTTTCCCCAGTGAAAGAGTCCATAGGGCTAGTTACGAATAACTAGCTCCCACTCCCCCAACAGCTGGCGGGCTTTCCTCCTCCACTCAGGCCACATGTGACCCTCACCTCCCACCACCTCCCACCTGCTACCCTGGGACCTGTTGGCTACAGTGGTGGCTGCCATGCAGGCATGGGTGCTGGGGTCCCAACCACAGTAGGGGTCCCGGGCCAGGATGCAGTCATAGCAGGAACGGTAGCGGGAGCAGCTGGACAGTGGTAGCTGGATGACTCCACTAGGGGCCCCCACGTAGAGGCTGTGCTGGGAGCCAGAGAGGACAGTTGGTTGGCAACACCCCCACTCCTACTTACAGACACACACAGCCTGTGCCCAACCTCCTCCCTCGCCGCTCCCTCCTCCTATTCCAGCAAGGCTATATTCAAAGTCACAAATCAGGGGCTACCTGCATCAGAGAGATGACTAGATTCTCCACAGACTGGGACTCCCTGAACACTTGCGTCTCTTCGATAATGTGCATCCCAGAGC